CTTCACCTGCATGTCTAAGTTGTGGGCACTCGGAGGAGCAATTAATTCATGTGCTACAAGATTGCAACAGAGTTAAACGGACGTGGTTATCCTTTCTTCCCGATTCGGCAACAGAGGTCTTTCTTATGCAAGATCTACAAGGCTGGACATTAAATAATATGCAGAGTATGGTGTTCTTGGAAGGTATTCCACGGGGGACCATATTTATTCATGCTTTATGGTACTTTTGGTACTGGCGCAAACTGTCTATTTTTTATGATAAATTTTCTTGGCCCCGCAATGCAAAACAATTTATCTGGACAAAAGCTAAAGAAGCTTGGGATAGTTTTCAACGTGAACAGCAAAAGGTTAAGCATGAGTCTTTGAATAGCTGGAAGAAGAAACCCATAGAATCCTTTGTTAAATTAAATATAGATGGAGGTGCTAAAGGGCAACCGGGATTAACGGCAGCAGGTGGACTTATTAGAGACAGTTCTGGTGCGTGGTTGACAGGATTCACTTACAAGATTGATATTTCCTTCTCTCTAACTGCAGAACTCTGGACAATCTATCATGTATCGGAGATATATTGATCTAAAGGTTATAGAAAAATACAATTGGAAACAGATTCGCTCCTAACAATACAAAAAATACAAAATAAGGAAAACGATCTAAAGTCAAATATCCAGTTATTTCAATCAATCAGACAATTACTTTACAAAGAATGAAAATGTCACTTACCTCACACACATTGTAAAATCAATCAATGTATCAATTAAATAGTTATTCATTATAATAATTTAAGTATAAGATTATAAATTTATGATGTTCTTCCTGTAAATATTTTTTATTTATTACTATTAAACTCTTTAGGTATCCAACGACCTAAGATGTTATTTTAAATAAATTCAATAAAATTTCCCTTTATATAAAAAAATATACATTTAAAATTAATGACATCATATATGACCAAAGTTAAAGATACAAAAGGAGCTTCACTTTTGGTTACATCCCCAAGACTTTGCCAAAGGCCACGGAACTCACCATGTGTTCGTTGGAGAAACGCGGCAACCTCTTCTTGTTAACCTTGACCGGCGATGATGAGCACCGCCTTAACCCCACTCTCATCGCCTCCCTTCTCTCCGCTCTTTCCCAGGCCAAGGCCCAATCCACTCGTGGGTCCGCCCTTATCACCGTAGCCCAAGGCAGATTCTTCTCCAACGGCTTAGACCTAGCGTGGGCACAATCCGCCGGATCCAAACAAGGAGCCCAAGAAAGGTTACTCCACATGGTCAAATCGTTCAGACCTGTCGTTGCGGCTCTGCTTGACCTCCCTATGCCCACCGTTGCCGCCGTCACCGGCCACGCCTCCGCAGCCGGATTCGTCCTCGCTTTATCTCACGATTACGCCGTCATGAGGCGAGATCGAGGGGTTCTTTACATGGCCGAGGTGGACATAGGGCTAACAATTCCCGATTATTTCATGGCGTTCTTTAAGGAAAAGATCGGCGCGCCTTCTGCTCGGCGCGACTTGTTGCTGCGGGGGCTGAAGATGAAGGGGGACGAGGCGGAGAAGAGGGGGATCGTGGAGGCGGCGTACGAAAGCGAGGATGAAGTGAGGGAGGCTAGCGTGCGCATGGGGGAGGCTTTGGCGAAGAGAAAATGGGACGGTGAGGTGTATGCGGAGATCAGGAAAGGGTTGTATCCGGAGCTATCGGCCATACTGGGATTGGCCACCAAAGCGTTTGCTTCTCCGAGGCTTTGATTGAAAAATAAGCAGAGCCATTGTTACTATTTTGAATAATAGTGTTGTTTTTACTTCTTGAACTTGCAACCATACTATGTCATCATTTTAATGCCAGGGAAATAATACTTCCTAATATGGAAATTTGTGCAGCTTTAGACTAAAAATTGGAGGGTCGGCCAAGCGAGCCAACCCTATTCGGATTCCATAAATTATGTCGGCCATATGTCTTGATAGCCATACAGCACCCACCAGACAAGGGTGAGCGTGGCACATTTAGCCAACCGACCCTTTTAAGTTTTCTCTTGTGCTTGCTTAGCTGATATATGGACAACCTCTTTCATGCTCGTGGTACCTTTACCCCATGTGGGATGTTTTCCTGTATCATCACCGCACCTAATCGAGAGCCATGGCAGCAGCTGCCGGTTCAAGCAGGTTTGGGAGAGCAGGCTAGTGCAGAGGGAGGGGCTCCCCACCGCACTCGACCCTTAAAAGTCTTGAAGACTTGAACTAAGGAAATGACGTCAAGGGGTTTTGATGGTTCATGCTCGCCACAAGGTTAACAATCTGGGAAACACGAAGATAAATGATATATTTATGCGAAGGAGGACAAACAATCGGAAGAAAATTTATCTCAGTTGCAGCTCCATTAACAATGAACCCAAGTCATACTTGCTATACAAATTTGATGATGCACTCTAAGATTCTAGTTTGTATTGATTCGGCTGAAGATTCTGGTTTATCACATCAAACAACCATGGATATATGAGTGTGAAAAACAAAAATAAACCTACCATGCAGCTGTACACATCCTAATGGACTATTGCTTTGCTATCCCAAAGTGCAGTCAACAAGTTACTTGGTCCTGAAAATGCAAAACAGCAAGACAGTGTGAGTTACGAACTTAATTAGAACAAGAATGAAGGGCATGAACTTGAATCCTTGTTTACTAATTTTAGAAGAAAAATAAGTACAAGTATCCAACAGAATATCACCTTCAAGCTTGAAGATGAAAATTGCTTAGACATATCCTCTCCTATCTACCACTTTCTAGGAATTGATGTAACACATTGCCTGCGATTGAAGGAAATAAGAATCTTTGTATTTCCTGCCACTCCCAATGTGAATCCCATTGCGGATCCAGTCCTCTCGATGTATCCAAGCATCCCGACCAAAATCTAGAACACCAAGGATCTGTAATAAACAGGATATAGGCAACATGAGAAAATTATTTTAAGAAATCCATAATCAATCTAGAACAGCTGCGGCTAAGATAACACAAGAAGCAATTGGGATAAAGGCTGTAAACTGAACTATGGAGCATTGGCCATTAAAGGGGAAAAAGAAAAACTGAGCACTACTGACATAAATTGCAAAGCAGACTACATCTTACTGCACACATTACAAAAGCACATATCTCATGATCTCATGTATCAACAATAGTACACATATGAAGATCTAACCTCCCAATCACGTTCTGACAACTATGTGAAACAGTTAACCTAGTCTCTATGGTACTTACTGTTGAAACAGTAATTTCTCTCTGGTAGTTATTAATTTAAATTTTAAACTGTGACATTTCACCCTTATGAAGAAATTGCATAGCAAAATGCAATGAGCAAATGCACTTTCATTGTAGCCAACACAAAAGAATCCCGAGCATGGAAAAGAAAAAGGATGGGAGATGACTTACAGCTCCACCCTTCCAAGACACAAAAGTTGGATTTGTTCTTGATTGCAAAACCTATTTCAAAAGTGAGAATCCAAGAATATAAAATCAGCATCCACGTTTGAAGAAAGAAAGAGATGAATCACATGTAAGCAACTGGGAACCACTAACAGCCTAGAACCTAATTGACCTATAAAGCTAACTTAAACTAATCATGAAAAAAAAAGTTGGTCATAAAAGAATTTATATTTTTCTTTTGAGGTACAATATAAAAAAATTTACTTAATCTAAATATCAATACTGAAGATATAGAATTTTGACTATATATTCCATTTTTGCCAATCATTATGTCGAGAGCAACACATTGCATTGTCCACGAATTATTACTTATATATTCAATATTAAAATTAAGTTCACCTAAATATCAAGATAAATAATATTCTCGAATTATAACCACATTGAAGCGGCTAAAAGCTGGCATAGAAGACAGGCTTAACACCTTTACAATGAAGAAATTAAGCAGACTTACCTCAACAGTATCGATTGCTTCATTTGAAGGAATGGCATGTAAAACTCTGCAAGAATATAAAAGAAGATACAAAGATGATATGGGTGCCAGAATCATCTACAAGGACTACATGATTACAATAAATAGCACAAAGGACAAACTCTATTATCCTGAAGACTAATAAAAAATGGATCTCAATATGTTGCTTGTAAGTTACTCTGCTACTCAAGGTAATAGATAAAAAGGAATGGATTCACAAAGCACAAGCATTCCAGATCAGTACTAAGCTTGAAATCACAGAGCACAAAAGAAACTGACATTTGTATGATTCTCATAACACTTCAGATGATGAATTAATAAAAAACAGAGTAATAATCCAGCAACTAAACTTTCCGTGATGATAATATGCAAAGAAATGTCAAACACAAGGCAACAAAGAAAACAATTATTACCATTTTCTTGACAATCAATGCACTTAAAGCATTCTCAGTCAAGATTGCCAGTAGAGAAAACTAAGGCATATGACCTAACCCAAGTTAGTGCTCTTCCAGCCATATACTTTATGATGTAGGCTTCAAATAAATCAGTTAAATACACATACTCTAATAGTTAAGGGTCCTAATAATTAGCTAGAATGATGGATTTCCAAAACAGACATTTTGATTTTTCTTTTCATTGAACACGTATTTGTAGAATCTATTAACTGCCTAACCATGAGCTACAATCATATGTGCTTAAAGTAGGAGGATAACAAATGAGGGGAAAGAGAAACCAACCTCTCCTCCACAGCAGGAATTAGCCCACCGGTCAAAGCCACTCCACCAATCTGAAGCACAAAACCAAGTTAAACGTTCAATTATTAAAAAGTAAAGTATTTCATGTGGCCTACACTTCCTTAGAAACTCACCAACTGTATGCTACAAAACAACTTTCGTTGTAGGTCTATGCGGCCTGTCAATTGAAAAGAACCAAATGGTTAGATTGGGATACTATTATAGCTTATCAGAACATGCTAAATTAGCAGTAAGCAAACCTACCAGTTGAAAGAATGCTACTGGTTATGGCTTCTGCTAGGCCAACCTTCTCTTCTTTCTTTGGTTTCATTGAAAAAATTGGGTAGCTATCCCACATTGGTAAACCAACATTAATTCCAGGATATAGACCATCTGGCATGTCAGGTCTTCTTGGGAATTCAACATGCCATGTATCTTCCAGCATATCTTCATAGTCATGAAACCTGATGAAGCACACCACCACAATAGTGCTAAAGGAAATAATTCAAAACTACTTCCACAGAAAAAGCAATAACTTGGACAAGTATTACTAACCAAGAACGAGGTGGTGGAGGATACAAATCAGGAATCAAAAGTGTTGGGTAGAACAAACCCATAGGAGGAACCTATTTAAAACGAACCATCAATAAATCCTTCAAGAAAGGAAAGGAAATGATATCTGAGTTTGACTGAAAACATACGTTGAGAGCAGTTAGCCTTGTCTTATGAGATCCCGGGGGCATGGCATCCTCATAAGAATGAACTACAGCTATAGCATCAAGTTCACCCTCCTGTATAAAAGTAAATTGAAAGACTACAGTAAGAGTGTTTCCACAGCAAAGAAACCTTAGACTTCAAGGTCCGGGAGCCAAATGACTCACCTTAATTTCACAGTAGGACTCTTTTAGCCTGTTCAGCATCAATAGATCTATAGGCTTTGTCAAAATGTCAGTCCGAATTTGTGGCCATGTCTGATGATGCCTCTGAGTCCAAAGAAGACATCTTGATATATCCTGGAAAAGGGAAAGTTAATGACAATGATGAAATCACCAACATACAATGGTAAGATATCTTTCTTGTAATATGAGGTAGAAAAGTTTTAATTGAGCCCTTTAAACTAATAGCCATAAACAGATTTCACCAACATCAACATTAGTTAAACATTCAACAATGAAGCTTCTGCCTGCACATGATGGAAAGCTGAGGAACTGAAGGAATGAAGAGAATTCAAACCTCTCCACCAAAGGGTAAAGTCTTCTCTGTATTAGGTAGAGCCACTCCATCCTGCACATCAGAAGAGACATTAGGCAATTATTAGAAGTAAGACCACAGCTCTCGTAAATTAGGTATTTCCCAGTTATGCTACTAATAATAGTACCAAACACGAAAAAAAAAGTATGTACTAATTCAGTCTGCATTATCTCTACATGTATGTGAATGCTACCAGGTGCTTTTTTCTGACAATAGTCACTCCAAATTGGCAACATCATGTAGTCAAGGTGTTCGTTTTGTATAGAGGTTATACTCTTCATGACAGTCACAGTGATACTGATATAGAGACAAACTACCATGATTTCCATGTATGATTGTGGGAGCAATGGCATTTTAATTAGTGTCAATGGAGGTTGAGATGGTGATGGTGCTCAAGCTAAATGTAAATATTAAGGTGATAATGACAGCAGTCAAAGAGCGATGGTGTTATGAAAGATACCAGGGTGTTTTGATGGAGGTGGTGATGGTGCTCAAGCAAATTGAAAATATTATGGTGGTAATGACAGCAATAGAAGACTGATAGTGTTAACAAAAGTAACAGGGTATTACTGTGACGAAGGATGACTAGAAGATAGCAGAGTAAAACAGAGGAAAAGGTTTACTCTATCATGATTGAGTTTTTTATTTTTTTTTAAAGGGAGGGGAGAGGTTTGGAGGTGAACCAACCTCTCCGAACTCTCTCAAAACCTCATTCTTAAAATTCCCTTCAATAGGAGGGACTTGAAAGGAGAGTATTCCATTTAATAATTTCGGCTTGTGATCCCTTATTCCCAACCTGTAGCAAAGAGTAAATATACACAACAATCCGTTACCTCAATGCAAATGATCGATGTCACTTGTGCACCCATATTTACAACACATGCCGTTGATAACCCATTCCCAAAAACTGCCGCCAAGCCTTCCTGAGACCATCATATATGAAGGAAATATTATACACCAAAGAGTAATTCACTACTTCAAAAATATATTTACTGTAAAGCTAGGAAAAGCAAATGTCATGAAAGAATACCAGAGTCAGTAAGACTGAGAACCAAATATGATATTAACGCAGGATACCTGTTGTATTATTACCACAAACAGTTTGTTCATAGATTTGAGTACAACCGTACATATATGACATAGATACAAACCTTTATACATAGAGTATGCACACATGCATATGTACACATTGTCAATAAGTCAGACAATTTCAAGGAGAAAGCCACTTGCGTCTAGTTGGTATCATTCCTATGAAGGAAAACAAAAGATCCCTAATGGAATGCCTCTATCATACCATGACAAGTTTATACTGCACAGCTCATGAATCTGTCAAACACACATTAGCAGAAGCTAATCACACAACCTCAGGATCATCACTCTAAAAGTTTTCAACTAGCTGAGGCAACTAGGCTAGTACCAGTATTGACAAAGTAATTATTAAGTACTAAATAGGGTGATACATCATTCAGTTTAATGCTGGTATTGAAACTTGATTGACATTTGCGTCTAAGAACTATCAGAAGAACTTCTCACCTGGTGTACCACTGCTGAGCTAAAGCACAAGTCTCGCAGTAAAATAGATAAGATCTCCTTTATCTCTGCTTGTGACAACCACAAAATTGCACATTACAAAAGATTTGATACAATCTACAGCATTTAGTTTCAGAGGCAACAGATATTCAAGAGATAAAGCTAATCAGATTGAGACTTTCTCCACACACATAAACTGCATCTAGAAGTTCTACCACATTACAGACTCTACAGAAACAAGGGGTGAGACTTTCTCCATTTAGAGTATGATAATCAATTTTTAAATACCACGATTATCAAATGTTTCTGGCACAACAAGAATAGCAGAATATAAGCTCCTTTCTTGGTGAGAAATATGCAGTTTGTCTGACAAAATCCAGTCCCATAGAGCATGCAGATCTTCAAGGACCTGCAAGAAAATAAATATGTCATTTGAAGAAAGTAGATATATTTGTCCCTTTTTTTAAGCAATGCAGCGTCAACTGTATCAATAATTAAGTTTTATTATCTCAAATGTAAACAACAAACTGAGCAGGATCAAGATGATTCAAGATGTAATTGCAGCAACATCATTTGCTAAACCCTAAAAAGAAGAAATAACATGCACATTTCTCAAATGTAGGAAAGCCGATAAATATAGAGACTATACCTGCTGCATGGGATAATGTTGTGAAATATTTAGGTGACCTCTACGAATAGGGCGACGCAAGCAATATGGCTCAGTGGGAGATACCCTTAGTGCTTCCTCACCACATATGACCTCCCTGAACTTGCGTTTGGTCAAAGCAGGTTCCTTTGAATCAGTACCTTCATGTTGGACCAAAGACTCATTTATGAAACTTTGATCCATTGAACTTTCTGCATAACCAATATCAACATATAAGAATATGAAAGTAAGACCAAAGCAATAGAACTTACAACTAGAAATATTAAAAGCCACACTATCCAAAGAAACTGCTGAGAATTAGAAGCAATAAGGGTGCACCACCAATATTTTATAGATCCAGTCAAACAAGGAAGAGTGAGGATATAGCACAAGGCAAAGAAATGGAAATTTCTAATTACCTGGTGCCACTGATGAATGTATATCCTTCACATGTATATCAGTCCAAGCGAAGGGTCCATCCTTCCTGATATTCTGAAGATTGTATCCATCGACGCGTCCCATCTGCACATTAGCTTTAGTAATTTCACTACTACAACCTATAAATGGTCAATTGACAGCCTCCATCATTGGCAATACATTCAGCTTAAAATTCTTACCTTCCGTGGAACAGAACTATTGGCAACCTCTTCATCAAGGAAAGGTATCTTCAACAATGACGCAATCTTTCAAACAAACAAACATTTAATTCAAAACTAAATTACAATACAAAAACATGAGAATACAAACAAAAGAGGAAAGAAAAATGAAAACCAAATGAAGACACTCACAACATCATAAGCCTTTTCGCGCTCCATGTGCTGCGCTGTGGTAAGTTGAGAATTAAGCAACTGAAAACCAACAAATCGAAAATTTTATCCCAAACAGCTCCAAAAAAAAAAGGCGGAAAAAGGAAAAAAAAAAGAATGTAGTTAAAAATGAGGAACCTGATCTTGAACATTTAACTTGGAGAATTGGTTGGTTCGGCGAGCAATGCAATGAGGAATGATGAAAGGAGAGTCCTGCTTAGCTAACCCTACTCTTATATGTGCAGAGCCTAAGCAAATTAACAAGCAATTTATTTCATTAAATTTCGTTTTGTTCTATTTTAATTTCGGAATTCCTAAATTTGGATAGCAATTGTTAAGAAAAAAGGAAAAAGGAAGTACCGGGGTTGATGACGACGAGATTGGAGCCACGTTCGGAGAGAAGCTGAGAAGGGACAACCGTTTTCAAATAATCCTGCAAAAAAATTTAAAATGATTAATTTTACATAAATTTAAAATTTCGTAAAATTAATCTCTCTGTTTTTAGGTTTTACCATGAGAAAAATGAAGAGTTGAAAGAACGAGCTAGTTTTCTGTTTTTGGAAGAAACTTCAGTTTTGTTTCTTCATCACTTCTTTTCTGGCTCTTCCTGTCTTCCAACCTTCAACACAAGTGAATCACTTGCAATTTCCCAGAGTCTTTGTTTACGAAGCGTAAAATACCAAAACGGTGCCGTTAACGACATCATTAACGTTCTTCCATTCAAGGCTCAGAGCTTTGCTTTTGGGCCAGAGTAGAGAAGAAGTGGGCCGGAATTGATATGGTAAATATGATTACAGATTGGAATTAAAATATTTTGTAAATTTAGTCGTGTTTATGGTTCCCTTATCATAATTTTTTGTAAATTGATGTGATATATTAATATATTATAATAATTAATGACTTGATAAATTAACATAATTACAAGATATTTTTTACTTTCCATATAACACCATATCAAGGTCTGAAAAATATAAAATAACAAATTATGTTTTAATTGAATGTAAGAAAAAATATAACTTTATTTAAATATTTTTATAATTTAAAGATTTTTGTAAATAATGTAAAAAAAAACTTGTTGACGTGTCAAACTCTCTTTGGGAAAATTAGTGAGATAGTGAAGGCTTGTTTTTATTGCTGAATATCTTATTTCCTACTCAAGAATCTGTTCATGTGGTATTTACTGATAAGTGAATAACCAATTACCTGCAAGTGATCCTTGTGCCGTAGCTTAGACCCTTGACAAATTCCACGCAACAATGAGTGAAAATTGACTTCAGTTGGATGTGAAAATGCCAGCTGACCTGAGACGTCCCCCAGAAGTTAGAGACCTAATCATGGTCTTGGGGTTTTCCCTTATGATACTAGTGAGCCATTGCAGGCATAAAAACATGAGCCAATCCATTTACATTAACCCTGAGATCATCCCCTGACACAGCAACTTCATGACTAGAAGTGGTAAAAATATTATCAAGTCCATAAATGGAGAAGAACAATCAAAATAAAGCACGATGATACTGATAATTTTCGGCTCATTCCTGTGAATATATCCCATCCCGTGAACTAATAATGACCATATGGGAAGCAATATCTTGCTCCATTCAGATCCATGAATGGCTGCATGAAACATTAATAAGCACTGCAATTACTGCTGTCTTCAAGGGCAGCCATGATTCCAGCACCATAAAATGTATGATCAAGTCATTTGGAGTGTACACCAGAAAATATAAGTAGTCATCAAAACCCTAATTTTTGAACTCAAAATCAAATTGTCATAGAAAATAAACAAGGAGCAATCCATTCAATTTTTCAAACGTTCTGGTGAATAAAGAACCAATAAAAACTTAACAACTCCTAAAATTGGGATGCAATCAATATTTGGTAGATCTGCAAAACATTATCTGGTGCTGCACAGCCACTACTTGACATCATTTAAATATCAAGACTTGAAGAACTTTCCAATCTTCACCAGCTACTTCTTCAATAAATCTAAGCAGCTTTCGATTTCAGGGCCTTCTTCTTCAGTTGCCTCTTAGGTATTGAGTGCTTCATCCCCCAGAAGAAAAGTAATGCACCAAATTGTGCAACACACTGCCATTGATTAAGAAAAAAGAAAAAACAATGAAGTCCTCACTTCGTAATGCTTGGGAACACATTAGATACGCCTTTGTACGTACCTGCACGAAATCACTGAGCAGAGCAGAGTATTGAGGTTCATTGGGACCATAGTTGTAGAAGTCATAGAGAAGAGGAGTGCTAACCAGCAAGTAGGCACCCTATGTCGAAAGAAAGGACAATTAAATGAGACATAAAAGTAAAATCAGAAGAAACTGCTAGCTGCAGTTTCAAATGTAAACTTCCCTTACAGTTCAAATATAATCAAAACAATCGCCCAAAAGAAACAAAATTCTAACCAGGAGAAAGGCTCCAAAGCCATGGCCAAATACAAATAGAATGCCACCAAGTCCCTTCAAAGCAATGGCAGCTGCGACTAATTGTCTAACCTGCGTAAAAAAGTTTGCATATCAGAAAACAATGTACATCTCGAGCAATATGAAAAAGATAAATCATATTAACACAAACTTAATATGTCAAAATAAGAAAGAACTTTATTACAAGTTATTAAGAGAGAAAAAGAATAACTTACTTCAATATCTGGCAAATTTACATGGAGTTGAGAATATATATGTTTCTTAGCAAGATCAACCTTTGGTATCAATTCCTTTGCTGCAGGCCCGCCATCAACCCCAAATTCATTGAACCTGCCAACATATTGAATATGTCACTATATCTACAAGATATCACTAGCTTTTATAGAGAGTCCTAGCCGAGCACTTTATGCAGTCTATCTTCTCTTATCACTATAGGTGCAATAACTGGCAAAAATATAGTAGCAGCAGTGCAGGACAACTTAGTATAGGGCCAATCACTGAAATTACACCAACCAAACCAGAATGGTGATTATGGGATTTTTATCTAGAAATTCAGGACATTGAATCAACTGCCACATTAGAAAACAATAACAATCCATCACATCACGCGTATTACCACTTCATGGTACTCAGATTCACGTTATCAAAATGACACGGCCAACACAACACTGTCTCCAGGAAGTACTTGCAATTCAGAACTTAAAAAATACAACCATATTCACTAAAACTAACCATCCAATTCTGAACTTGCAAATATTAGGTTTATTCAACCAAATAAAAAAGAAAGCAAATGTTTGTCATACCATTTTTCTATCCTGGCAAAGTTTAAACATAAAAAATTGAAAAACAAAAAGGTTTTTCTCCTACTAATCAGTAACTCCCCCACATACAATCTAGACAAGTGGCCCAGATCCTCAAGCGAAAGCAATCATTAACAACAGTTACAAATTAAGGAACATAATGCAACAGTACACAAAAAGAAAAATACCAAAACTGCCGGATAAACAAAATAGAAATAACCCAGATCTAATAAATAACATATTTCTAAAACAACCCAACAAAAAGATTGAACAGATCTATAACAAGAGAGAAAGAGAGATTACATTTGCCTAGCGGAGAGAATAAAAATAGAAGCAAACAAAACTCGTCCCACAAATGACATGAAACCCATTTTTCTTGTTTACTTCTTCTTTCTTCTCCCCACTTGGTTTCGAGCAAAAAACAGAAAACTGTTACGGCCGGATTTCGGGGTTCTTCGTTTCTCTTCTTTGCCGCTACCGGCAGAGGGGAGGAAGAGACAGAGAAGAGGGAAAATTTGGGGTTTTGGAGTTGGTCGGGTCTTGACGGGGTCAATTATTTATGAAATTAATATGAAAAAAAAAAGTTTAAAATATTTATTGAGGTGGGATGAACGCGGAAGAAAGAAATGAATCAAGATCCGATTCTTCACTAACACTACTACTATTGTAGTTTACTACGTCTGGGTTTGGAGTTTATCTTAATTACGCCTTTGCCATTTCTGTACGAAGAATTCTTTAGCCCAAATTACCAAGCTACCATACATTTTTATGCATATATTGAAATTTGATATGATTATATGTAAGTCTTATTATCAAATTAATTACGATATATTACAACTTAGCAAAATTTAATATTTTTTTCGTAATTTAACATTTTAAATAAAAATGTCAATAAATTGCAAATTCATTATTTTTTGAATTCTTTATTTTTTGAATCTTATTATTTGATAATATATTTGAATTTTATAAATACTCCATTAAATTTTAAAATTATTATGTGAATCCCTACCCGAATATTTTAAATACTATCTGTTAAATACTTGAACCAATATTAGATTAAAATAAATTTAAAATCCAATTGTTGTGTATATTATGAAAAATAAATTAATAAATTGAAATTAGTTCATAAAAAATAAATTAAAGTTTGAATAGTACTTAAACAATTAGTAAATATTAATAAATATTATATTAATTATAATAACTTTATAAATAAAAAATAATTCATATATAATTATATTTAATATTAAAAATATTATTTATAATTGAGTTGATGAGTATCTTAAGACCACTACTCAAACCTTAACCGAACTTAATTATGAAATATTTTAATCTTATCTAATCGAATTGAGTAATGTAAGATATCCGATTACATGGTATCCATGAACATCCCTAATTTCAAGTGATATCAAAAAGAAAAACTATTTGTTTTTTGTTTAATTGAAAATAAAACAAGTCTTTTTCAAAATATAGGTAAGGAATTTTAAGTTGAAACCTTGAATTCAAGTTTAAGTTTTAGGAATTTACAAGAAGTGTTAAATGAATAGGATACGATTATTTTCTATTTTATAGCTAATAAATTAATAGAAATTTACCTTCACTTTACTATTTTTTTCAAAAAAGATGGGTTAACCTTTTTTTAATAATAAACAATTATCACTCAATAAATAATTACTGATCTTAAAAAGGGATGTTTCACCCAACACATTTCTGCATACAAATACTAGAAATCATGGATGTATCATATTCCCTGCAAGTTGGAATACTTAGCACTTATTTTTTACCCTTGAATCTTTCCTTCAAAGCAAACTTTGTGATTATATATCGTAAAATTAGGTTTTGCATAATTAAAATGAGTATTCAATGTTAAGCACTGAATTAATATTTAATAATTGAAAGCCTTTTTATATTATAGTAACCTAAACCACTAAATTTAACCACAACAGTAAAAAAATGAAATTAGGTTTGCATCTAATCTATATAATCCATAAAATGCTTTGCATTTATATAGTCATTGATTTCAATTATTTCATACGAATATTAAATACGAATATTTAATCTATGTCTATAAAATTAAGTTTGGCACAGTTGATACAATGTTTGCTAACGCATTTGTGTCTTCATTTTTATATAGATTATAAAATTAGGTTCTGCAAAATTAGTAGGCATTATTGTTTAATAATTGTGGTGCATTTAATAAATGTTTGTTTAATACATTTGTGTCTTTGAAAATTTTAGGGAGACAAAAAGCCATCTAACATTATTACATGACTAATGATTTTAAACTAACCTTTAAAGAATATAAATCAATTTCATCAGATTTCTTCTCATATTCTACTTAATTTAATTAAAGTAACAATGAAAATGAAAATTTTAAGATATTGTTCTATTGATTTTAATCATTTCACATTTTATAAATGTTATGACTTGAAAGTAAATATTATAAAAAAAAGAAACAATAAAATATTTTTTTTTTAATTTTTGTATGAGATTTGATAACATAATGTAGTTTTTCTTCAATGCAATTAAGTTTTGTATTTTGACATTGATGAAAAATGACAAAAGATATTTTTAATAATTTATAATATTTGGATTGTCAAAAACTTGAGATTTTTTCAATCGCTGTATTTAATTTATAATTATTTATTAATTTGTTCATAACTCTTGATCTCTTTTATTTAATTTATAAATAAATTTGTCGTGATGAAATATTTTAGTCGCTTATATTTTATTTTTATTTTTTATAAGTTCGATATTGAGGTTATAGTTAAACATGATAAGAGTTTGTTTCTCCTTTTTTTTTCTCCTATGATACGATTATGATTTTGGTTTTTGACTTATTTTTTCTAATTTTTCTGAAGTTTTGTTTACTTTTTAATTTGTAGTTTATTATTTCAATTGAAATAACACAAGTAAAATGTTTTATTAAAAGAAATGTTTTGAATTTTGGAAAATAATAATATATATTTATCTTTCTATTTAAATTATCTTTGATAAACAAAGATCAATCATGCAAAACATGGACCAAAAGACCTAATAATCAATTGGTTTTAGTTTTATAAGGTTATAATTTATAATCTCACACGGTATTGAGGAGAGTTTCTTCTAATTAATTTTAATCAAAGATAAATATAATTATTTAATATCTATATACACATATATATACAACATGCCTCAAATAATTTGTAAACTAATAACTAGGTTGGTTAGGTACTTAGGCATTTGATGATTTTGATTTGTTAGTTTAATCAAAACTGTTTCTCATAATGACCTTCGATTCAGTCATCACCACTCATCTACCTCCACCAACTCATTCTTGTTATTGCCCACATCTTTTCATTAGTTGCATTCAAACAGTCACCCATGAATACCACTACAACTCACTCATCCTAAAGGGGATGGGAGACACGCCTTGGAAGCTAAATGGATATAGAGATAATTTTGGGTTTCATTCAGTCAAGCTAGATTTTCTTATTAAAATGATATAAAAATCAATCTTAAATTCGATCTCTACGAAATCCTTGATTTTCAAAGGAAACTAAGTGAAGATTACGATGCCATTAATAGTAATGTATTATTTTTGTGAGGCATAATGTAGATGGGAGACACACTTTGAAGGTTTTTTTTTTTTTATATTTGAGAGAGAGGAATTTGAACCCTATTCTTTGGGTAGAAGATAATACATCAATTAATGAGTCAAATGTTCGGGTACAAAAACACATTTTGAAGGTTAAAATAATATAATGGTATTTTTTCTGGGATCTCTTTCGGTTAAATTAGATTTTTTGATCGAAATGATAAATATATATACGTAATTTTTTTTAAATTAAATTTAAATTTTTCTTTTTTTTAATAAAAAATCGTTTAAAAAAGGAGAAGTTAAGCTTACTTTATAAACAAGTGTCTCTAGATATGCCGAGTTGATTGAAAATTTGAACATTTATGCATTTTCAATGGTGAAATATGCTTAACTTTAATTTATTTTAATCAATATTTCACAAAAAAAAAAGAGAACATTCAATTTTCCTATTTATTGTGTAGTTGTGGCATTGTGGGCAGCATGGACTCATAAATTATAGCGAGAAACAGCAAAGCGATCTTGATTCTTGAATAAGATCTGATCTCTCTTTTGATCATCTGTCATGGTTTTTTGATCTAGGTGAGTTGTTATTTTCACGTGCAGCCCAATCAAGCTTTCTCTATATCACGATTTTCTATTTTCAATTAATCACTCTAAATTAAATTAGAAAAAAAAAGAAAAAAATTCAAATTAAAAACACACACAAATAAAAAAGAATTATTAAAGTCAGCCATGGCACACATGACTTGAATATTGGGATTGAATAAGAACATGGAAACAATACCTGACATTGTTCATTGCCTTTACAAGAATTTGACTTGGATTTTCAAAATAATTTTGGCAATTCCATTTTTCTCTTTACTTTCCTTTTAAAATTTTTATTTATTATTTGTTGAGATCTGGGATTCCCAAAGTCTCATTTGTTTTCTGCAATTGCTTGTGCCTTGCCAAACTCCTTTCTTTTTTGAAAGTAAAATTCCATTGAATTGCATGTGCAATGGCAACTAAAATTACTGCTACAATTATTTCTTGGCAGGCAATTAATTATCTTTCTTTCCAAGGGATAAAAGAGAAGGAAACCAAATGCCTAATAATATAACTTTGCGATATTAATTAAATGCTCCATTATGATTGAGGTAGCCACTAGACTTAATTGGACTTACCATCTTTTTGTTAGAATTTTTTATTATGTGCGTTATGTGGGTTATTATTAATTAGTAATTTTAGTTTGATAAAATTGTGAGGCAAATTATAAACTCAATTAATATTAAAATGATCCGTTAATGTTGCGTTTTGCACGTATAATTAGGTTAGTGTGGTTTGGCGATCGTGTAAGTCTTAACTTAGTAAACCTTTAATGAAAGGTTTTTACTAAAGTTTTATTTTAATATATATATAGCTAGGTTTTCTTTTTTCTTGCACAATATCTACCCATTGAGAGTTGCTACAAACAATAGAAAAGTGCGGAAAAGAAGATTTAACGTTGATCATAAAATTTTATTTTGATGTTCTAATATTCTCATATGGATTTAGGAATTTAAACTTACATTTTTAAGTAATAGAATCTACATTTGAAGCATTGCTAATATATAATATTTGTATACTATTTCTTAGTCACTAAGTGTTACTTTGTAAATAAGTAAAAATAAAAGTTCAAAGTCTTTTAAAATAAATATTTTTAAAATTATGAGTATTCATTTTTTAAAATGATCAAAATTTAAATTTATTTATTAATAAAAAAACAATGTTTAATTAACTGGTAGTATATTAATATTATATACTATAGCGTATCAAATATAAATTTTTTAAATAATAAACTTTTGTTTTGAAAAATGGAGTTTTTTTTTATTTTTGTACATTTGATGTAGTTGTTGGGCTTAATTAAAGGACAAAAATGTCTCAAAATGGAGCTAAATATAGTATTAGTAATTTTTGAACAATTTTTAATATATTATAAAAAGGAGAAATTATTGTCCTTTACAACTACAAATCAAACATTCAAACATTGTTTAATCTTAAATTTTACCTCAGTAAACGAGCAATAGACTTTTTTATTTAACTCGGTAATTTCCTCCTCCTTTCTCAAGAGGAAGCTTTTTGAACGGACCAACACACACATTCACATTCAAATTTCAAAATTGGACCAAAATGCCGGCAAAGTGGAATGGTTGCAAAAGCACATATCGACAAGGCCACGATCGTAAATTACAACCAACTACAAGGACATTTGCCGTAGCCAAACCTCAAAAAGATCAGACCCAAAAACTCAACTCGCTCTCCACTCTCGCCCACGTCACTCCTGCCCCATCTTAAACCAACAAATCTGATTGGTTAAACCGACGTGTTCCCTCACCAATTCTGAGAGTTTTATAAACACTCTTGTACTCGCGAGCGTACGTCATTTTTTTTCCGATTGATCTTTCTCCCTCTATAAAAGTCGCGGGCTGGTGGATTTGTGCAGTTTTTAGTCTCTTCCCTTGCTACCCTGTCATCTCTCTATTTCGTGTCTCGTTTTCGGACAGTAGTTTTTTTTTTTTTTTCAAAATTCAACGTTTAATTTTTTTGCAAGATATTTTTTCCCCGTAGAATTTAAGGTATTTTCATCGAAAAAATGTCGTTCGTTTCTTTCGTCGGAAGAGTTCTTTTCGCTTCAGTGTTTATCCTCTCTGCTTGGCAAGAGTAAGCCTCACTTCAGATCTGCACTTTTTTTTTCTTTTCCTTTTTTACTTTTACTTTTTGGCGATTTTTAATGGAGTCTGTTTGGTTCTCGAGAAAAAGAAAAAATAAAAGTAAGAAGAATAGTTTGGATCTTACTTTAGATTTGGAAATCAGAGCTCTTGTGAATGCTTTGAGCAGACGTAGATTTTAGTTATTGACGATTTAATGCTTCTTCTCAAGAAAATGTTTGACAGATGTGGGGTTTTATGTGTATAGATCGATCTTGTTTATAGTTTCTAGGTAAACCATAAAGTTGCTAGCTTTTGTTGGAAGAATTGCTGCAATTCAAGATGTTATTAAGTGTCAATTTTTTATGTAAACTTTTGAAATTTATATAGCTGATGTGACGTGTAAGGGTTGCTTAGATGTTTTAAGTCTTGTGGCAGTTTTCCTTTTTTCTTTTCTAAACTGCTTATTGAATTCTCCTTTGTAATGCGGAAATATTAATGATTAAGTGCCAAATGAGGTTCATAAGGTTTAAACTTATTTTCAAGTTCCAGATCTCGTGAATATTATAAATGCAATGGCTGTTGTTTGTTGGTAGTTAATATTCTGTGTAAATGAGAACTAAAGAGTGTTAGGAGTAACGGTTTTTGTTGCTTGACACGTTCTCTATTTTGGCCATGTAAGTAAAGCTTATTTGTTTATATTTCGGACCGTGGTACAGTTTTGAGATTCTTATCCTAGGTGTGTTTCAAATATTTTGCCATGTGTCCATTTAATTGTAAATAAGGAAATCAACATTTAATTATGGAACTGATATATAGTATATGAGATAATGAAATCAATATATTTAACCAATGACACATGGAAAAGATTCAAAACGCGAGTCTATAGTATGATAATCCATAGTCCTGCTCACCATAGTGGGGTCTTGGGAAGGTTATGGCCTATGTGGATATATGGCTAAAATTTTAAAATTTTATGGTTGTGTTGAAGGAAAATTTTTGTCAGCAAATTTATCTTTTTTCCCGTAAGATTTAGATTAGCTATTGTTTGAGTTACTGTACTGTTATTTAGCTTGATCTTAGTATATGTGTTCTGTAATTTTGAACTAGGGCTAAGTTCTGTCATGCTTGTGTCTAATCTACATTATGTGTTCATGTGTATAGGTTCAATGATTTTGGTGTTGATGGAGGGCCAGCAGCGAAGGCACTGAAACCAAAATTTAATGTCTTCTCAAAGCTTGTGTCATCTCATACAGGGGTGGAAGTGCCAGAATTTGAAGTAAGAATTGCTATAGGTTGCGATTGAGATAAACCTATGGGTTGCAAAGGCACCGAAACCAAAATTTAATGTCTTCTCTGTTCATATGAGTGTTTTTCTGATGTTATAACTCTTGGATTTGTTATCTACAGATTAAGTATCTAGTTGCTGCCATTGTAGCCTTTAAGGGTGTTGGGGGCATCTTTTTCATCTTTGGAAGCACCATCGGAGCTTATCTTCTGGTTTGTTTAATGGTTTAATGTGTTATTTTGATTAACTAGTTCAATTCTTAACCAAGTCAACTGATGAAAGCATTACACTGTTCTTCTCTTGTAGGTTCTGCAACAGTTCATTGTTACTCCTATATTGTACGACTTTTACAACTATGACATGGAAAAGAAAGAATTCGGTCTGCTTTTTACAAAGTTCACCCAGGTTAGCAATTGGTATTTATTTTTCCATAAGGAATAAGGGTTGATTGGTGTTTCTCTTTCTTCCTTCAAATTGTAATCCTTTTGTTGGTGATTCTTTCCAAACTGTAGATGTATATGATGAAATTTGTCAATGGATTGTTTCTCACTAAATTTCCTTTACTTTTTAGAACTTGGCACTGTTAGGGGCATTGTTCTTCTTTATTGGCATGAAGAACTCAATGCCCAGGAGACAACTCAAGAAAAAGGCTCCAAAATCCAAAACAGTTTGAAGAGGAAAGTCCGGTAAACTGAGGCTATAGTTTCTTGTTTGATCTCTGGCTACCTGGCTGAGTCCAGATCTATTTTTGTATGCTTGTATCAGGGCTTTGTTTCTTCAAGATTAGGGAAAAAGGGGATACTACTTAGACAGTTTGATGTTAAGTACTAAGTTGAGTTCATGGTTATTTAATTGAGTTTCAGAAAGAATTTGATAATTTTGCTTTTGAATATGCTGCTGCCTTTAGTTTTTCTCATTTTCATGGAAGTTCAACAACATTTTTGAGAACCTTCAACTGTTGAGATGCAGAATGGAGAGCAACTAATCAATGCTACCTTTTAGTTTTGGTTGAAATGCATTGTGCCAGTCATCTACCGGAGGACATTGTTAAGTAAAAGATCTTTATTGCATCAAATATTCCCCTAGGATGTGAAAAAGTCCCAGTCTACTTAGTGCGAGTGGTTGAGTAGCGAATGTTCCTGGATTGCGCTTTTGCATTGACAAAATCGTCTGGGTTGAGCATTATCTTCGTACAAGTGCATGTATCTGGTGACGGATTTAGAATTTTGAGTGAGTAAAGGTTAGAATTTTGAATGAGGAGTAAAGGGTAATTATAAAAGTAATAATATTATATATAACTTTTATGCTTATAAAAATAAAAAAATAAAAAGTTGAAGGGTCACGATTATTTCCACGTGTCACTCCCTAGCTGGGCGCCAACCTGCATCTACTAAATGGACACAAATTGGTATCATTGTACTCCACAATTTGTCAAGATGGCTCTGTTTCTGAAAGTGATTGGCATCATTGAGCACAGTCGGGTAAACGATAAGTTAGTCTAAGGTGACTCTTGCTCCATACGGAAAAAGACTAGTTTGAAATATGAGTATCTTATCCATAGAAGTAAGTAATGTTGAAATATGCGTAACGTGTACTGTTCTAAGGGGAAGAAAGAGAAAACAAGGGTTCTATAAGGAGAGAAGAAAGCACGACAACGAGGGTTCTATGAGGAAACTCATAGCTAAGCCTATCGCCAGTTCAATCTGTACAAGAAACCGTGATATTATTACTGTTATGATTAAGAAATAAACAGCTGGGAGTGCAGCTATTAAATCTCTAGTATCCAGGCATATTCTCCCGCCTAATCCTTGGCGGCAGCTTTTGTCAGTAGTTTGCTCCGTAGTAATATTTAGATAGCTTTCCAATCATAGATACAAGTCAAAAGACTCAAAACCAATTGCCGTGTCTTCGTAGAAAAGAACACCAATTGCCGTATCCTTAATCAGAAAAACCGGTAGCTGATGTACATAACAACTTCACAAATAATTTATGGCTTCTCAATTTGCACATACAATTTCCTTCTGGTCACTTTCAATCTTTTGTCGTTATCCGAAAAATCTTCTTTCCCTTCTATTTATTCCAAATGCCTTGATTGTCAATATTAAATTTGTATTGAGCAAAGAGGCTACCTCCCAAAACAAGAGAAATGGTGATAGCCAACACAGGTGAAGTTCAGACTACATCAAAACATGAGTATGACAGAGCAAGTGAAGTTAAAGCATTCGATGACACAAAAGCGGGCGTCAAAGGACTCGTGGATGCTGGAATTACTGAGGTTCCTCGCATGTTTCATCAACCACCAGATAAGTTTGAGAGAACCTCTGTTCCAGGTGACGCCCAGGTTAGTATTCCTGTTATAAACCTTGATAGAGTGAAGGAGGATCCAATTACTCGCAAGGAGATTGTTGAAGAAGTCCGTGATGCGTCAAAGAAATGGGGTTTTTTTCAAATTATTAACCATGGGATTCCAGTGGGTGTTCTAGAGGATATTAAGCATAGTGTTCGTAGGTTTTTCGAGCAAGATGTCGAGGTCAAGAAACAGTTCTACACTCGTGATAATATGAAAAAGGTGGTCTACAATTGCAATTTTGATCTGCATACTGCCCCGGCAGCTAACTGGAGAGATTCTGTTTTTTGCACTGTGGCTCCTGATCCTCCTAAGCTGGAAGAGCTGCCAGAACCATTCAGGTATATATACCATGTTATTAACAATTTATAAGGGATAACCTAAAAAATTTGAACTCTCACCTGCAAAATTTACGTGTAGGGATATAATGGTGGAGTACTCAAACCGGTTAATGAGTTTGGGATATTTACTCTTTGAGTTAATATCAGAAGCTCTTGGGCTGAATCCTGACCACCTGGTGAAGATAGATTGTGCTAAAGGTCTTGGTGTGCTGTCCCATTACTATCCGGCGTGTCCGCAGCCAGAATTGACTCTGGGGGCTAGCAAGCATGCTGACAGTGACTTCCTCACCGTGCTTCTACAAGACCATGTTGGGGGCCTCCAAGTTCTTCATGGAAATCAGTGGATTGATGTACCTCCAACCCCTGGGGCTTTAGTAGTTAACATAGGAGATCTTTTACAGGCAAGCCTTATAGCTTCCGTTACTAGAAATGAGCATGGAGAATGCATTAAAAATTCAGCAATCTGCTTGTTGAATAAATTCATAACTATGTTACTAATCGATTTACTTTCTGTTTGGCTGTTTTTCCAGCTTATATCAAATGACAGTCTTTTAAGCGTGGAGCACAGGGTACTAGCAAACTCAGTAGGACCTAGAGTATCGGTGGCATGCTTTTTTGTCACAGGTTTTCAGCCAAACCCAAGACTATATGGACCTATTAAGGAGTTGTTAACGGAAGACAATCCTCCGAAATACAGGGAAACTACTGTGATAGACTATCTTACCCACTTCAACAGAAAAGGCCTAGATGGAACGTCTGCCCTGCTGCATTTCAGGCTATGAACTAATCCGTGAAGACAAAAGGGAGCATTTGCATAATAGATAGTTTCTGAACTATGTACTTTGGCACTTCTCTGTAATGTTTTCTATCATGATATCTAGAATTAGAAAAGGACGTGATGGTTGTATATCCAATTTATAGACACAAGTAATATTTGATTGTTGTGTCTTTCTGCTTTGGTCACTGAAACTATTGTTCCACGATTTTTTTTCTCAGCTAGGAAGGTATTTTCATTAATAATCTGCCCAGGATAGGAAGGGTACAATAAATTGTTCATACTACAATCAAATTATAACTGGTGTGAGCATACATAACACCAACTAACAAAACTTACCTGATATGAAAGGTACAACAATTCTAAGCTAAGCTTTACAATATCAAAACATTGTGAACTAAAAGTATTCATAAAGAAATTTACTAATGAGAGCTACCACCATGCTGTATACATAGACTCACAGTCAACACCATGTTTAGCAAGCATGTCTACAAACGAGTTCCCATCTCGCGCAGTATGTTGGCAAATCGATCTACCAAGAGTCGCCCTAATTGTATCAATTTCAATGAAAATATGCCAGATATTCCAAGGACTATGATTCACCTTCTCCACCCAAGTGAGTGCCGCAATAGTCAGACCCCACAACAAGTTGGTGGTTACCTGCATAAGGAGAACTCGCATGCATGTACAGGGCGTGTTTGATGGCCATTTTCTCTGGATGATTAGAGTCCTGCACGCCTAGATAGACCTGTCACATATCCCTCTGAGTCTCGAAGAACACCCCCATAGCCTGGAGGCTCAGATTTTCGTCTAGCCGAGCCGTCAACATTGCATTTGAGCTCGCCAAGTTCTGGAGGCTGCCAAGTAATATTAACACTTGTGTGGAGGGGAGCACGTGTAATATTTTCATTCCAACGTTCAAACCACCAACCGTACTCATCCACCGAGCCCATTCCATCACAAGTTTTAGTCCAAAATAAGTCCTATCCCAACACTAACCATTGAGCATGAATTCGTTTTTTGCGAGCCATAATGACCAAATGGTCGAACCACAAACAATCATCCATCTGCTTTTTGTCAAACCTGTACAATGACAAGCATCCCAAATGCATATATGAGTGCCAATAGATCTAAGGGGTACCCAGATCATTTGCCACCATCTAGGAACCATGGCCCATATTATCCAACTAAATTTGCAGTCTAAGAGAATGTGAGAGCATGTTTCTGTCTCAGCTTGGCACCAACCACATAGTTATTGCTCTTCGTTGACAGGAACTCCACGAGTCCTCTAAAGGGCCCGTGTAGCTATAGAATAAAATACGGCAAGCCATATAAAGCACTGAACTTTTGGGGGATAGGAAGTTTCTAGTAAATGCAAATCATACCTGCTGCTCAATGCTACCCGTACCCAACAGAAAGTTTAATCTCTTGACAGAATTTTCCTTTTGGAATTTGTGTCATAAAAATGGCAGCTAATCAACACCACAATCAGCCTGAAAAGCTAATCTTGACAGATACAGAAACAGTAACTGCATCAGAAGAACATGGGGTAGGGGCAAACAGCCCAGAGAACTAGGTTAATAAAATGTCAAGATATGTTAAAAACGATCTGAACTTTACTAATGAATAACTTGCTAATCATTTAGCTATTAATGAAATATGATCATTTGCGCACACAATTTTCATTCTTCTGGTCTTTGGGTGAACAAGAAACGGCTGTAAATTTTGAGGCAAAGGGATAAGCAGGCGAAGGAACAGGGACACGATCCTTTAGAATTGAACTTGAGGTGGCAGCTGGTGGCAAATGGCATCACAAAGTTACAAATATATGGTCAGTAGAGACGGCAATAATTCTGAGGCATCCTAGGCGGCTGTGATATTAAAACTCTTGCCATTGTTGTATCATTCTCATGGGTTCCAGAACATAATAACATAATAATAACATTGATTATTCCAACAACGGTTCAAGTGAACGCTAAATTTAGGAAGGAAATAAAAATTCTCTTTATTTGCTAAAACAAGAAAAATCTGCTTCCTACTCTTTCTATTTTAAGTATCACGATTGTCTGAACAAGAACAAGAAATGGTGACAGCCAAATCATCAAACCCTGATCAGTTTGATAGAGCAAGTGAATTGAAAGCTTTTGATGACACAAAAGCTGGAGTTAAAGGCCTTGTTGATGCTGGAATTACTGAGGTTCCTCGAATATTTCATCAACCACCAGATAAAATTCAGAAAACCTCAGTGTCAGGTGATACCCAGTTCAGTATTCCTGTTATAGACCTTGAAGGAGTGAAGAAAGATCCAATTACTCGAAAGGAAATAGTGGAAAAAGTTGGGAACGGGTCAAGGAAATGGGGATTTTTCCAAGTGGTCAATCATGGAATTCCAGAAAGCGTTTTAGAGGAGATGAAGGACGGTATAAGGAGGTTTTTTGAGCAAGACCTTGAGGTGAAAAAGCAGTGTTACACTCGAGATTATTCGAAACCGGTGGTGTATAATAGCAATTTTGATTTGTATACTGGTTTAGCAGTCAATTGGAGAGATTCATTTTTCAGCCTTATGGCTCCTAATCCTCCTAAGATGGAAGACTTGCCAGCAGTTTGCAGGTATGTTTCATTATACAGTTTACAAATGATATGGGGGCTGTTAAAATAATTTCTACTTAGCTTTTTCCTTTTGGTTGAGACTTGTTCATCTCCTTATATGCCCTTTTCCTTATTTAATCTTCAATAAGTAGCTTATGAATCTGGGAATATTAGATGCCGCAGTAATTCTACTTTCAAGTGGTTGGAATATTAAACATTAGCCAGTATGATTAATTTATAGAATATATAAGAGTACTGTTTAGGTTGCCCTATTCCTTATTCTTTCGTACCATATTCAATAACTTAGAACCACAAGCTCATATGCAAATAGTTTACTGTTTAGTGTTTGAAAACAAGACTTGACCGGATGAAGAAATGATAACTGACATGCTTAATTCATTTGCAGGGATATAATGGTGGACTACTCAAAACAAGTACAAAATCTGGGTTATTTACTGCTGGAGTTACTTTCGGAGGCTCTTGGGCTGAAACCTGACCACCTGAAAGACATGGATTGTGGCAGGGGGCTTGCTATGCTATGTCATTGCTATCCCGCATGTCCACAGCCAGAATTGGCTTTGGGCATAAGTAAGCATGCAGACAATGACTTTGTCACGGTGCTTCTACAAGATCATATTGGTGGCCTCCAAGTACTTCATGAAGATAAGTGGATTGATGTACCTCCTACTCCTGGGGCTCTAGTGATCAACATTGGAGATCTTTTGCAGCTAAGCCCTTCAGTTTTGAGTTTTGCTAGTTCCATACTGTAAATAACAGATTGTTTCATCTTTCAGTTGCAATATTTGCTGGCAATTCCTCAAGTGATCCTGGATGATCATAATTCATAAAGTGGGAAACTAGGTCATATAACAAATCAGCTTACACCAAAAGTGAATGAAGTACATGACAATGGCAGTGATTTGTTTTAGATTGATTTCTCAAATTCAGATGATTACATTGGGATGATTCTTTTTATTTTTTCAAAGTTTCTGTTTCCTACTGAGAACATTTTGCTGGCTGCATCTTATTGAATAATTCTTGTTTTGGCTGGTTTCAACTTTTGGTCCCCTGTTTTTCAGCTTATATCCAACGACGTTTATAAAAGTGTCGAGCATAGAGTACTGGCAAATTCAGTGGGACCTAGAGTATCAGTGGCATGTTTCTTCAGCACTTCTGTAATGTCAAGGCTATATGGACCGATTAAGGAATTGTTATCAGAAGAGAATCCTCCAAAATACAGGGAAACCACAGTGAGAGACTATGTTACCTACTCCAACGGAAGAGGTCTTGATGTTGCTGGTACTTCTCCCTTGCTGCATTTCAGGTTATGACCGTGCCTCTGAGAGAAGCAAAGAAATGTTGCCATGATAGAAAATTTAGCTTATGAACTGAATCATTTTGTAACTTTCTTATGATTGAACTGTCTATTGTATTGGAGGCATCTGGTTGCCGCCATTGCTTATATTCTTTCCTACAAATGAGTTGCAAAAAGTAAAGGATTTTAAGTGAATGTGTACATCCTAGAAACTTGCAGCTACTTCACTTTTCAGTTTTGGCATTGAAGCTCTTATATACTACTAGCTATTCAATCATGCTGGGAAGCTTTTGCTCTCCATTGCAATACTTTCCAGTTGAATAACCCTATGCTAAAGTTTTCCATAAGAGATGGTTTTAATTCTTTTCCTAATTGGACATACTTTTTTTATAATTTGGCCAGAGGATATATACTTGTATTGGAAAAATTCTAGTTATTTAAAAGTTGGGTTTGTGAATGCGTCTTGTTAACCTGAAGCCAGAATGAACAATAGCAGTGCCGACCTATGACCTCCCGTAAGAATGAGATAAGCTGCCTAAAAGAAAAGTTGAAAAGGAAAGAACGAGATAAAGGAGGAAATCCAAATTATGTTCCCCACTTGTATGGTTTATAGACCCTATGCTTTTTGTCCAGTAGCTTTGGTTAATGGCCCATTATTTGAGTCCTTGGCAAAGCATAAAGACCCATACTGCAGAGATTTGTCAATGTAGCTTATCATTTTATTTCTTAAGTTGGGGAAGTGGACCAACGCCTAATTGCTTCAGCACCTTGACATTTGTATCAAATCTCATTGGCCGCAGGGGAATATATCACAATCTGAGAAATCAGTGATAGTTACCAATATAACAATAATTTTCAGTTACAACTCTATATCAAGAAGCTTAATCCTGTAAGAGGCAGCAGCTTCGTGCATATTGCGTAGTGCTCTGTTTTGATTTTTTGTTGTTTTCCTTATTATTTAAACGAATCTCCTTCCTTCCCTTTGCATTAGACTCAATTTTTATCATAAGATTTGAATAGTCCACAGAGGTTACTTGCGAAAGAAGAAAATGATGATAACCAAGTCCAAGAGTACTACTGAGGAGCAGGCCAGACTAAAACCTGAATATGATCGAGCAAGTGAATTGAAAGCTTTTGATGAAACAAAAGCTGGCGTCAAAGGACTAGTTGATGCTGGAATCAAAGAAGTTCCTCGGATATTCTATCAGCCGCGAGATCAGTTTGAGACGGACTCATTTTCAGGTGGCACTCAGGTTAGTATTCCTGTTATAGACCTTGAAGGAGTGGAGAAAAATCCAATTACTCGTAAGGAGATAGTTGAAAAAGTCCAAATTGCATCGAAGACATGGGGATTCTTTCAAGTGCTTAACCACGGGATTCCAGTGAGTGTCATGGACGAAATGATGGATGGTGTGCGTAGGTTTTTTGAGCAAGGTGTTGAGGCTAAAAAACAACTCTTCTCCCGTGATTATACGAAAAGGGTGGTGTACAATTCTAATTTTGATCTGTTTAGTGCACCAGCAGCTAAATGGAGAGATACAGTTTTCTGCTCTATGGCTCCTAATCCTCCCAAGCCAGAAGAGTTGCCAACAGTTTTCAGGTATGTTAAAACTTAATACACAAAACTCATTTCCGCTAAAGAGTTTTATTGTAGCCGTTGTTCGGTCTAAACCTTAATTCCATCAATTCCATCTTGGTCTGTCATAATAATCTGATTTGCTCACCCACAATACCAAGCCTTAATTGTGCCCTGCTTTCACGCATATTGCACTTGGTGAATTTGTGCCCTCCACTATTGCCTATAAAGGAATTTTCTTGTTTTGTGTTTAATGCTTGCATTGTTTGAGAGCAGTTAAGGTGTTCTGCTGTATAGTTTGTGACCATTTTCGATATTGTACCAGGATGCAGGTGACTGATCCTGTTTCTTGTGGATAGGCTGTGTTTTGTGTTTTTTGGCTGTGCAGAAGGTGGTTTGGGACCATTATGCAGTCTAAATGCAGCATAAAGGCAACAACCCACTACTTTTTGAATGGCCAATGGGCATCTAATAAACCTAAGCTCTTCAAAAAAAAAAATGTTTAATTTAGAGCCACATGCTATAGCTATTTCCTGAAAATATATATTCTTATCTTTAGGTTGCCACTGTTTCATCATGTCACTGTAATCTGCAGAATTTGTACTTCTGATCCACTCAAATCGCAGGCCCCATTTTTTGGATATATTAAAACTTGAATCTAATGATAATAACCAAAGATGATAATCTTATTATAGAAATTATCCTTTCACACTTATTTCTATTATTCACTTTTACAGATTTCATGTGTGGACAATAGATCTTAATTACAGTTTTTGTGCTTGGAAAAATAAAAGATTGAGATGAAAGAGTGTATAAAGGGTTTTGAAATCTGAAATCTGAAGTTGGAGATCAAGAGAGCAAAGGACAACATTATCTACAGTTATGAGTCAGTTGATGGTATCCTGTTTGCTGATAAAGTTTAATGGAGAAAGCGTTAGAGCTGGAGTATAAAATCCTTAACACACTTACTTTTCTTGTAGGGATATAACGCTGGAATACTCAAAGCAAATAATGAATTTGGGTTATTTGCTGTTTGAGTTACTCTCGGAGGCTCTCGGACTGAACCTTGATTATCTGAGAGATATTGACTGTGCTAAAGGGTTGGTCATGCTGTGCCATTACTATCCCATCTGTCCACAGCCAGAACTGACTCTAGGTTCAAGCAAGCATGCCGACAATGGCTTCCTCACCGTGCTCCTACAAGACCATGTTGGCGGTCTCCAGGTACTTCATGAAAATCACTGGATTGATGTACCCCCAACCCCGGGGGCTCTTGTCATTAACATTGGAGATCTTCTACAGGCAAGTCTTTATTTTTTTTAAAAACTTTTGCTAGTAATATTGCAAGGAATAACTATATACTAATGTCATATTTAAATATTGTTCTATTTCTCTAGCTAGGATTATCCCTGAGTGGCCTCACAGTTGAAGTTTAGGCCTTAATTATATATCACTTTTTCCTATATAAGAATGAAGTAAATTATCATGAGTTATGAATAGTTCTGATTTTAAGCTAATTTTCATTTTTATTCTCAGCTTATATCAAATGATAGTTTTACAAGTGTGGCCCACAGAGTACTGACAAATTCCGTAGGGTCTAGAGTATCAGTGGCCAGCTTTTTCACAACTGCTCTTCTGCCAGACTCAAGATTGTACGGGCCTATCAAGGAGTTGTTGTCAGAAGAGAACCCTCCAAAATACAGGGAAACCACTGTCAAGGACTATATCACCTACTTCAACGCAAAAGGTCTTAGTGGTACTTCTCCCTTGCCACATTTCAGGCTCTGAACTTGGTGTTAGAGATGAAACAGCAGCAGCAAGACGAATAGTTTACTCAAATATAACATAATTCAGATCTTGTAAAATGTTTTGGTCCTGATGACTCTGATCCTTGAGCAGTTTGATTTGTGAAAGTGAGTGTTGTCTACGTATCTTGTTTATAAACCAAAGGAACGTGTGCCCTTTCTCCTCTTCTTTGGGTGTTGTAGCCACAACATTGCTCGTAATTTATGTCCACAGAAATTGTGAAAATAAAAAAAATTTATGTGACGTTGAAGTGTTGTTAAATTGAATGGGATGTTAAAGTACTAAAGTTGAATTTTCAGCAACTCACAGATAAGAGACTCGACTATTATAAGTCAAAAAGCTTCATCCAGCATTGCCTTATTTTTCATCGGATGTCCCCCTCTTTTTGTTAAAAATTGCTAATCGGAGGAAGAAAATGGTGATTGCCAAGACAGATGAAGTGCAGTTCGAACTAAAGCCTGAATATGATCGAACAAGTGAACTGAAAGCTTTTGATGATACAAAAGCTGGGGTTAAAGGTCTTGTTGATGCTGGAATTAAAGAGGTTCCTCGGATATTCCAACACCCGCCAGATCAGTCTGAGAAGATCTCAGTTTCAGGTGTCACACAGGTCAGAATTCCTGTCATAGACCTTGAAGGAGTGAAGAAGGATCCAGGAACTCGTCAGGAGATTGTTGAGAAAGTCCGAGATGCATCGAAAACATTGGGATTCTTCCAAGTTGTGAATCATGGAATTCCACTGAGTGTCCTGGAAGAGATGAAGGATGGTGCACGTAGGTTTTTTGAGCAAGATTTGGAGATCAAAAAGCAGTTCCACACTCGAGATTATACCAAAAGGGTGGCTTACAATAGCAATTTTGATCTGTATAGTTCACCAGCAGCCAACTGGAGAGATACAGTTTCCAGCCTTATGGCTCCAGATCCTCCTATGCCAGAAGAGTTACCGGATGTATGCAGGTATAACTATGCAAAGAAAAAAAAAACTTAAATTAGTTAAAATTTTTTAAATATTTTTATATTATATTTAATTAAGTTATTATATTTTTATTTTGAATTAAATAAATTTTATATTTTTAAATTAAATAAATTTTTATAATTAATAATTAATTTAATTAAAATATTATTTATTATTTTATATCAATAAATAATAAAGTAACATACTAATATGACATAACACCATAATTCTGTAATATTTTTCAATTTCAATTTTACCTAATGCTATGTAAATATAAAATGATAAAGTGTTATTTTTATCAATTATAATTAATTAATCATTAATTATAAAATTTATAAAAATAAATATATTTAATTGAATGAAATCAAAAATAAAAATTTATTTAAAACTTTTTAAACAATTCAATCGTTGTTTCAAGCATTATTCTAAAAATAAAACCAAAATTAGAAGAGTAACAAGTCGTGTGTAGAATAAAGAGTACACGTAATTGTTTCTTGATGAGTAGTTGACTTGTGAGCACTTCTCGTGCAAGGCTTTCATCCCATTGGTCAGTCGTAATCCGATTTACTCAGTCACGAATCTGAGCCACACTCCTTTACCTACTTAAATTCGGAGACCTTCTTCTGATATCTTGAAGCTTAATCTGCAGCAGTTGCATATACAGCCTTGTTAATGGCAAATTATTAATCTCCTCATGTCACCTTGATTTACTATCACTATAATTAAATAAAGGACCAAGGGATGCAAGGGATGAGATTATAAGATAGGGTGTGAATGAATTGCTTTTCTAACCATAAGTAATAAATTGGGTAGTGATTCAAGTACTTTCATGCCACTTCTTTATTTTCGAATATGTGTGGTTCATTGATTCAATGTGTATGCGGTTCTTAGCCTACGAGTAAGAGAAAGGAAGCAAATACTCGTTATCTAAATTTATCTAGTTAAAATGACAGATTGTGTGCTTGATATGTTCATTTAGGGATATAATGATGGAGTACTCAAAGCTAGTAATGCATTTGGGTTATTTGCTGTTTGAGTTATTCTCGGAGGCTGTAGGGTTGCACCCTGATCACCTGAAAGACATGGATTGTGCTAAAGGGCTCGTTATGCTGTCACATTATTACCCCGCGTGCCCACGGCCAGAACTAACTCTGGGTGCAACCAAGCATGCGGACAATGACTTCCTCACGGTGCTTCTACAAGACCATATTGGTGGCCTTCAAGTATTTCATGAAAATCAATGGGTTGATATACCCCCAACTCCTGGAGCTCTTGTGATTAACATTGGAGATCTACTACAGGTAAGCCTTTATTCTTTGGTGTTGCTAGTTATATTACTAGGAATACCTACTTCGGGCCATTTCGTGGTATTCTGTTTTCTAGCTTGTATTGCCTGTTGGCAGTCCTACAAGGTTTCATGCCTGTAGTTTTGCTTGTTAGTTTCTACAGGCAGTTCTGTTATAATTACCAGCCTTTGCAGCTAATTTGTAATTATTTTGCTGTTTTCAGCTAATATCAAACGATGCTTTTGTAAGTGTGGAGCATAGAGTGCTGTCAAATTCTGTGGGAGCAAGAGTATCAGTGGCATGCTTTTTCAGCACTTTTCTTCTGCCAGATTTAAGACCTTATGGACCCATTAAGGAGCTGTTATCAGAAGAAAATCCTCCAAAATACAGGGAAACCACTGTGAGAGAATTTGTTGAGTACGTCCATACAAAAGGCCTTGATGGTACTTCCGCCCTGCCGCATTTCAAGCTCTAAACTTGGCCATGGAGATGAAATCAGCAATATCAGCATGACATAAATTATATAATTTGGACTGTTTTCAGAAAAATTTTGGTCATGATTACTATGATACTTGACCAATTAAAAGGAAGTGATGTTTATCTACAGAACTTATGAACCTTAGCTTGCTGAAATCCGTGCTCTTTCTAGTGTTCTGAGTCTTGAAGCTATAACTCCTCATAAATTTAACTCTACATAGGTTGCATGAAATGAAAATATTGAAGTTAAAATGCTATTAATTTGCTAATGACACTAACTTAATGACACTGAAAACTATACTTGAAGAAATCAATTTAAATTAAACAATAAAAAGAAGGATGAATAAATTTTTATTGCAAAAGGTGGTTCTAGTTTTACCTTTTCCCCTGAATATGTTGAAATTTGTCATTTTATTATAATTCTAACTGTATTTTGTGCATTTATTTTGTTAATTAAGCAAAACTTAGGATATTATCTTGTTTTTATCTTAACAAGGCTGAAATGAGCAAATTAGGAAAACAAAGCATAGAAAATGGACAGTTTAAAATAATTATGTACATATTTGGTTTTGAAGTACATATCAATGTCACCTATCTCTATCCCCCTTGGAGGAATTACATGTAATTTTCTTTGTATGGATGTATGTATGCTTGATATTAGACAGGTAAGACTGACAATTTAGGTAGACAAATGGACTTTTTTTGGTATTATAAGGAATAATGACCATTGACCAGCCACTGACAGAGTGGTTGTGGTGGACTTTGTGGAAAGGTTGTTGCCTTCTTGTTGAATATGGCTTTTTTATCTGCTTGGTGATGGAGAGATTTTACTATGATCTAAAACAGCCTTATTTCACTAACAATTTAACACAAAATCAAGCATGGTGGAAACAAAAACTGGTGAAGTTCAGGCAGATACTAACCCTGATTATGATCGCCAAAGTGAAGTGAAGGCTTTTGATGATACAAAAGCCGGTGTCAAAGGACTAGTAGATTCTGGGGTGACAAAAATTCCTCGTATATTCGTTGATCAGAACCTTGTCCTCGAGAAGAACTCCAGTTGTGTTAATTATCAGTTCAGTATCCCAATCATAGACCTCCAAGGTATCACTGAAAACTCAACTATGCGTGCTGAGGTAATCGAGCAAGTTCAAATTGCTTGTGAGAAGTGGGGTTTCTTTCAGGTGGTTAACCATGAAATTCCTCGAAGTGTTTTGGATGAGATGATAGGTGGCATACGTAGGTTTCATGAACAAGACACTGAGGTGAAGAAAGAGTTCTATACGCGCGATACAAGTCGCAGAAAGGTGTTGTATCTAAGCAACTTTGATTTGTATAAATCAAAGGCTGCTAATTGGAGGGACACTTTAGGCTGTCTGATGACTCCTGATCTACCTGACCCTGCAGAATTGCCTGAAGTGTGCAGGTATGTGTTAGTAGGAGTAATACTAGCTGGTAAAGCAATTGTGGAATTGTTGTTTTGCTCTTAGACAAATATTTAAATCATTAAACATATTATAGGGGTGATTTTTGTGGAATTTTGATCCCACTTTTACCTCCAATTAATGTTTTTTGATTTCATGAGCCAGAAATGAAGTTAAATGGCCATTACCTGTAACGATTCAAGTTCAATCACTGACTTAGCAATTCTTTGGACCTAAATCACGTGACCTTCAAAAACAACTTAAGTTCAAGTTGTTAGTAGTAGCAAACTTGAATTGTTATATAGATATAATCTGATGTGAAAGTGATTGTTAAGACTTATATAACAATTCAAGTTTATTACTACTAGCAACTTGAGCTTAAATGTTTGAAGGTCACGTGATTTAGACTTACTAGACCAATGGTTGGACTTGGGTCGTTACATTACCTATTTCAGTTGGTTCTACCATTCTAGTGACAGCACCTTCATTGTTTTGGGCAAAGTAGCAAGCATTTGAGTGAGAAGATCCTCCTTATACCATATATGTAACTTCACCAGCAGAGAAATTCCTAATCTCCTATGACATTTTTTCTGCATCCATAGATAGTTTTAATTCTAACAGTGACAAGCCTGATAAGATTTATTGGACAACCTCAAAACTATAAAAAGGTACCCATGGGAAAATAGGAAAGAAAGTAAACAGACGAATTGGCTAGGTTAAAATTTATTAACCATAAAAGCAATGTAGACATGTTGAGATGGTGTTAGCTATCAAAGAAAAAGAAAGGAAAATGAAAAGAGTCAACAAACTAAAAAGAAGGTATGGTTTATGAGAAGGGTGCATCCTTTTGCTGCTGCTTGAATGTTCTTTCATAAATCACCTTGCAGAGACAAAGTGATGGATTACTCCAACCGAGTAGTAACATTCGGTTTTACACTGTTTGAACTGCTGTCTGAGGCTCTTGGGCTTAATCCCAGCTACCTTAAAGATATGGATTGTACTGATGGACTCCTCCTCATGGGGCATTATTATCCTAAATGCCCCGAACCAGAATTAACAATGGGAACTACCAATCACAGAGATAGTAGCATCATTACCATACTCCTGCAAGATCAAATGGGCGGCCTACAAGTTCTTCATGAGAATCAGTGGGTTGATGTTCCTTGCATACCTGGAGCTTTGATAGTAAATATTGGAGATCTTCTGCAGGCAAGTCTATCCCCAGAATCTTTAATATTGTATCTGATGACCTTGCCTTAGTGAACATTTAACTAACTGATAATTATATTTTATTTTACTACTTCAAATTGTTTAGTTCACTTACCTCATAATTATTCAACTGCAATATTATCAGCTGAAAAGTGAAAAGACCTCATAAGATGCTGTTTTACTGTATCGTATAGCAACATTAGCTATGTTACTAGCCAGCTGTGCTATTTGATTTTTGTGTAGTTGCTGGTTTTATTGAATTGAGCAAATGCAGATGGAATGTATCAGAAATTGTAAACAGATTTATTTCTTGTTTCAATGCAGATTCTTTCCAACGACAAGTTTAAAAGCGTTAATCACAGGGTCTTGGCGAAAGACGTAGGCCCTAGAATATCAGTGGCATGTTTTCTGAGTATGCAAGCTAATTCAGGAAACGCATCAAGACTTTGTGGACCAATCAAGGAATTGTTATCAGAAGAAAACCCCCCAATCTACAGAGAAATCTTAGTTCAGGACTACTTGTCCCTCTACTACTCAAAAGGGCTTGATGGTACCCCTTCACTATCACATTTCAAGCTGTGAAACCAATCTACAGAATACAATTAGGGGTAACTTGTCGCTTGCAGAATAAAGTATGGTTTCTTACTTCTTTGGACCTTAATTTAATTATGGACTCATATTCATCAAAAAAATTTGTACCTTCACTGTGCTTTATCAGTGACATGGTGATCAAGTCATGCATATGTATGTTGTGGACTGGTACTCATGCTGAATCTAAAGTCTAGACATTTTACTTTAACTTTGGAAGCTGAAGATGGAAAATGAACTGACAAAACACATAGAAATGGCCAGGTTAGTAATTATGTAAATCACTGGCGTTAAAGACAGAGTAATAATATGTATAAACGGCTGTTGCCTTCTTCAACATGCTTGTTTATTTGTTTTGTAATAAAGAAAGTTTAGTATTTGATAAAACAGCCTCATTGCGCTGATAGTTTCACACAAGATAAACAACATTGGAAGAGGCTATTTTAACTGATGGAGGATTGGATGTTTCAATTCTCTCTTGGCAAACTCACGGAAAGATGCTGTTGCCGTTGAAGTAGAAAGGACAGAAAAATGAGTAGGAAATGATAATGTAAATAAGGCTTAAAAAACAGAGAATATGAAAGAAGAAGAGAAGAGAGAAAGGAAGATAGGATCTGATCATCATTTTATTAAGATAAAACAAGGTTTATATACCCTGTGTACATGAGACACACCTGTAAACATGTTTAACAAGAGTAAGTGCAGATTACATGCAAACTAACACGCAAGGGACAGCAAAAAACAACATTAAAGCTATAATTATAATACAATGAAGCAAACTGAAATTAACAAAGAAAATTAACTTGGTTGAGAGAAAAGCACTTGCTGCATGTATTATTTCTTAACATTCCTCCATAATACTTGCATCTGGAACAATCAGTTTGCTTCTCAATACTCAAATCTTGGCTTTCCCAAAGTCTTAGTCATTATATCAGCTAGCTGCAGTTGAGAACAACAATACTGAACATTGACTTCACCTCACCTCCCAGCATCTCTAATGGCATGAAATTTCACTTGGATGTGCTTGGTCTTACCATGGAAAATAGGGTTCTTGGTGATAGCGATAGCTGATTTGTTATCTACCATCAGTAGAGTAGGATGATTCTGTGGAAACTGCAAATCAGTGAGCATTTTTCTCAACCAAATTGCTTGGTTGGAAGTTGCAGTAGCAGATATTTACTTTGACTCAGCAGTGAATTGAGCAACAATGGATTGTTTGTGAGAGTAAACTTCATTACCAAGAGTACAGATATAGCTTGAAATACTCTTGGAATCATCTACATTTTCTGTCCAATCACTGTCAGAGTAGGCAGTGAGAAAAAAATTTGGATTTCTGGTATAACAGATTCCAAAGTTTAGAGTGCCCTTCAAATACTTAAGCACACGTTTCCCAGCTGCAAAATGAAGATGAGTAGGTTCTTTCATGAATCTGGACAGCAAGCTCACAGGATACATGGTATCTGGTTTTGATGAGCATATGTAAAGAAGGCTTCCAATCAAGCTTCTGAACTGAGAAAGATCCTTTAGCTTGCTTCCGCTATTCAATGAAAGCCTCTCATTTACTGCTAATGGTGTAACTGCAGGTTTGCAATTAAGCATGTGGAATCTTTTCAGAACTTCATTGATATATTTCTATTTAGATAGAAATAGCCTGTAGCAGATTGCTTAATCTCCCGACCAAAAAAGAAGCTCATCAATCCCAAATTAGACATTTCATACTCACTTTGCATCTGCTTCTTGAACAATTGTAAAGTAATATCATCTCCTCCAGTAATCATTAAGTCATCCACATAAACGGAACAAACAATGGAAATTGACTTTTAGACTTGAGTATATACAATGTAGCTTCATTACAGTGCGGGGTAAAACCACCCAAATTTCAGTTACGACACCTAGATCATTTTGGCCTAAATGCAGCTTACAGCAGTAAATAGCCAGCAGCCATCCACACATGGCAGAACAAGAATACACAAAAACATAGAAAACACAATTTTTTTTTTGTGTAAATTAAAAAATTTTATTTCTGAAATCAGGGAAAGCATCCTAGTGATTACAGAAACAGCACTTGATTTTAAGATGTTATGCCCAAACCAGCATATCATCTCAAAATCATGTTTATCAATGAACAAAAAATCACACCCCTACAAACAGGCTCCCATTAATCATCTCCTGACCTCAATGTACAATTAAGCAAAATCAATCAGCTAAAACAAGCACAGTACATCAGTTTCCATGGTTCTCTGTTCCACCAGATCATTTAAAGACAAAACATAGGAAACATAAGTAACCCATTACAAACGAAAACATAGGAAACATAACAAGAGAACAGCAGCATTAGATACCCGTGAACAGCATATCGTAACTCGGCAATGGATTTTAGTCTATGGATGTCAACTTTAACTGTTTCAATTCTCTTTTTGGCATTCTCAGAAAAAGATGCCCTTTTTGAAGTGGACACTGGACACTAGGAATCCAGTAACGGTAGAGGCCAAAGCCTAAACAAATAAAAGGAGAGAAAAATGAGAAAATCCTAACTTAGAATCTTAAACCCTAAATCATAAATTTTAAATTCCAATGTAACAAGTTTAAGGAACATTTCACGTAAAATTATTAAATTCAGCTTGATGTTTATTTAGGGCTTCCAAAGATACCTTTAAAATGGATTTTAACAAAACAAGTCTGAAAAAATTTACAATAGTTGAACACCATTCCTGATAATCTAACTCATTGGAATATTTATGTCCAAAGATTCGAAAGAGAGCCAATGAGACTGATGCAAGGCAAGATAATGTGAATTAAGAGTGGAGTTAGAGCATTTTTAGAAGGGTCAAACAGGAAGAGACACTTAAAAGTAATTTTATATATAATTCAATTTTGATTCATTTAAAAGATTAAATAAAATTTACAAAGACATTATATAAAAAAAATACACAGGTCTTTCTCACTCTCTACATACAAAAGTAAAATAGAAAATAATTTTTCAAGCTTAAATGAATTGTCTTTTTATTTTATTGTTTTGTTGGAAATGAGTAACTTCTTGAGAAAGTTTTGCTTATATTTTCTATTTACATCTTCAATTGCTAATTAACATATTAGACTTTTGGGTTGAAATGTTGAAATATAATATGTTATGATAAATTTAGATTTATATTAAAAATTAATGAGTTTAGATTAGTAGACTAACTCTTATTTTTTTAAATATGATGAACTTAGCATATTAAGCTAGAATTTATAAATTGGGTTTAACTAGAAATATACTAACTATAATGATTTCAATTTCATTCTAACAGTTGAAAGGATAAAAATAATTATTATTATATTAAGATTTAGTGAGTTTGGATTAGTAGATCCACTCTTATTTTTTAAAATTTGATAGACTTAGTATATTAGGTTTGAATTTATATACTAAGCTTAATTATTAATATGCCTACCATAATGATTCCAATTTTATTCATATGGTTGGGAAAATAAAAAATAATTATTAAGTAAAAAAATTATTTTGAAGAAGATATTAAAAAATATAAAAAAATTTTGGGAACCATATCCCTCTTAAATATACTACCCTCCGCTCCTCATGCCAATAGTGTGCCAAGAATCTTACATAACTCTAGCATTTCTACTGTTGGCTCGATTAATTGGTGCCATGAGGAACACGTGCGACCAATTACGTAATGAGAAAGAAGACCACCAGAGATTCAAGAATTACAGGATTTCTTCTTAATTCATAGTTGCTTAGATCAGACGCAGAGGTTCAGGAAATAAAAACAAAAAAAAAAAATAATAGATAGATAGATAAACAAAGAAAATAACAAACAAGTTGCGTATTTTCAAATCTTTTGTTTACTTTTCTGACTGTTATCCTCGTGTATATAAACATACCGACAAAACTCTCATATATTCCTTACCCTGTTGTAATCTTATCCACTCATAGAATATCAAACATGGAAGCGACACACGCTAGCGAGATTCATTCCAGAGCAGACCCTGGTTATGATCGTACAAGTGAATTGAAAGGGTTTGATGTGACAAAAGCAGGAGTTGAGGGATTAGTTGATGGTGGAGTGACAAAAATCCCTGGTATATTCGTTGACCAGCAGCTTATCCTCGACAAGAGGTCAGCTGGTAGCGATTCGAAGTTTAGTGTTCCGATCATAGACCTCGAAGACATAAACAAAGATTCATCTGTTCGTGCAGAGATCCTTGACAAAGTTCGGGATGCCTGTGAGGAGTGGGGTTTCTTTCAGGTTGTTAACCACGGAATTCCTATAAGCGTTTTGAATGAGATGCTTAATGGGGTACGCAGATTTCATGAGCAAGACACCGAGACAAAGAAAGAGTTCTACACGCGTGATCTCAGCAGAAAGGTTGTGTATCTAAGTAATGTTGATCTGTATAGATCACAAGCGGCAAATTGGAGAGACTCACTCTTTCTTTTCATGGCTCCTGGACTACTCCTGAAGAATTACCAGAAGTATGCAGGTATGTGATCAGAAATATTATCTATTTCGCACTGGCTTTTATCTTTCCCCTTATTTTTCTAATCTCAGTACACACTCATTGTATCTTGAATTGAAATTATGGTAATTGACTTGCAGAGACACAGTGATTGATTTCTCAAAGAGAGTGATGAAACTGGGATTAGCTCTGCTTGAATTAATATCAGAAGCCATTGGACTTAATCCTGACCACCTAAATAGCATGGGATGTGCTGAAGGACTCCTACTTGTAGGCCATTACTATCCACCTTGCCCTGAACCTGAATTAACCCTAGGAACTTGCAGCCGCACAGATCCCAACTTCTTGACTGTACTTCTACAGGATCAAATAGGTGGCCTCCAGGTTCTTCATGAGAACCAATGGGTTGATGTTTCTCCCACACCTGGAGCATTAGTAGTAAACATTGGAGATCTTTTAAAGGCGAGTTTTTCATGTGTGACTTTGATTATATTGCCAGTATTGCGAATCATAGGTAGTCCAGCCAGTAGCAAAAGATAAAATTCTGGAACCAGCTCCATAATTTGCCTCTTTTTGTTACTGAAATAGCTTTATAGTAACTGATATGACCTCATACCACACTCTTAAAAAGGTCTGGCAGGGTACATTTTTCATTGATAAAGTAAAATACTGTTTGACCTGAATTAATTTCTTGCTTTGGTGCAGCTCATGTCCAACGACAAGTTTAAAAGGGTGAATCATAGGGTGTTGGCGAAATTTAATGGCCCAAGAATTTCAGTGGCAAGCTTTTTAAGACCACAACCTCAGGGATTTTCCCTGATAGCCCGAGAGTCTATGGACCAATCAAGGAATTGTTATCAGAAGACAACCCGCCAATCTACAGAGATATAACTGCCAGAGTTTTTCTGACATATGTGTGCTCAAAAGGGTTCGATGAGGTCTCTTCACTTGCACATTTCAAGTTGTGAAATCAGCTGGAAAATATAGGAAATACGGCATGAATGGAACCAAGAAAGCAGACATTGTGCACCAGTTTAGTCCATATGATCAAATCATTTTCATATGCTTCCCCTTTTGTGTTATTATTATCACCAGAATTTCAATGATATGTAGTTTCGTGAAAGACTATCAAAATGTGTGATTGATTAGGAAAATTTAACTAGTTGATGACTGGATGTTACCTTCGTGGTCTATGATTAGACTGTGGTGGACAGTGTTCTGATGTGGCTGCTTCAACTTTCAAGTCTCCTCTAGCAAACTCGAAAGGAGTTAGATGCCTTATGGAAATGATATCATAAAAGAGGCAAAAAAAAAAAAGTCTGAATTCCACTAGCAGTAAGTGTCCCTCTCTGTTTTTTGTCCTGTTTTTCCTCTGTTCTCAACTCTAAGGTCCGTGACTAAGCAAGAAGACTCTTCACCCTAGCTATTAAGACAAATGGCAAGATTGCACTGATGGAAAACACGTCATGTTTTCTTGCGTTTCTCTATGCCGGTTCAGTTTGGAAACTGTGGATGCCCGCCTTTTTTCTTAAGGCTATGACTCCTTCAAAAAGATGGAAAAAGTAAAGTAAAACTATAATATAAAGATTTGATTACCCTCAAGATTAGACTGAGGTCCCTTAAGGCCTATTCTTTTCGTAAACTAAGCCCTCACCTAGAACTGGGTTAGAGCGTTTTAAAAAGTAATCAAATAAAAAGAGACACTCAACAGTTAAGACGTGAACTTTATATATTATTTAATTTTTAATTATTTAATAATTAAATAAAATTAATAAAATATTAAATATAAAAAAAATATATTAATAGTAATGATGTTATTTTATATATATATATATATAATTAAACGAAATTATAAGAGTCTTTTTCACTTTTTATGCCTAAGAGTAAAATAAAAAATAATTTTTTAAACTTAAAATGAATTATTTTTTTATTTTATGTGTTATACACTAAATGAATAAACTCTTTTTCTCTTTTCTAATTATTTTTTAAATTACTAATTATGTATTGGACTATTAGATTGAATTGTGAAAATATAATATATTATCTATTAAGTTAAATTGTTAAAATATAATATATTATGATAAATTTAAATTTATATTAAGATTTTATAAGTTTAAGTTAATAAATTTATTTTTATTTTTTAAAATTTGAAAAACTTATCATATTAAGTTAGAATTTATATGATAACTAACAATAGACTAACTGATTCCAATTTCATCAAATGATTAAAGGAATATATAGTAAATAAAACATTTTTAAAATTTTGAAAGATCTTAATGCTCATGATAGAATTATTTTATTATTTTTATTTATATTAATGATTTAATAAAAATTTATTTTAAAAGACATATTAAAAATAAATATAATATATAAAAAATTTTACATCCCAAGGCCACCCCGGACCCTCCAGGCCTGCCCCCACCAAATATGATGTCACAATCTCGCTGTACTTTTGAATACCACCAGTTTCTTTCTAGAATAAAAAATACAAAAACTATTCTTAAGGATAAGTTGGAAGAACATGTTTTTAGTGGTCAGTGAAGCATGGGGCCAAGCAGCTACCGTTGTTATTATCTTTGATGTGGTTGATTTCTAGACACTCCTATGCGGAACAAAATTTCCTACCGTCTAGTGCTCCACCAATCTTCAAGATTTACTCCATTGGTATTCCATAGAATTTCTACAGCTTTGGTTACCTTAGAGAGAAAAAAAAGGGGAAAATGGTGGTAACTGGTGGCGTTGAAGTTTGTGGCGATTCCAATTATGACAGAAAAAGAGAACTGAAAGCATTTGATGACTCAAAAGCTGGTGTCAAAGGTCTTGTTGATGCTGGGGTTACCAAGGTTCCTCGGATGTTCATCCGACCACCTGATAACTTGAGAGATGCTTCAGATACCAAGAAAATCCAATTTAGTATTCCGGTTATTGATCTAGAAGGCATTGAAAACAATCCAGCGCGGCGTAAGGAGATCATCGACAAAGTCAGACATGCCTCAGAGACATGGGGATTCTTCCAGGTTGTCAATCATGGAATCCCTTCAGGTATTCTCCAGGAGATGAAAGATGGGGTTCAAAGATTTTTTGAGCAGGATATTGAGGTCAAGAAAGAATTCTATGCACGTGATCGCGTTACAAGGTACAGGTATACTAGCAACTTCGATTTGTACACAGCTCCATTTGCAAATTGGAGAGATACCTGCTTTTGCGTAATGGCTCCCGATCCTCCCAAGCCAGAAGAGTTGCCGGCCGTATTGAGGTCTGTCAATGACTATGAATACTTTGTGTTTTGTTAACAGTACGTCATTGCTGAGCTTCATTGTTTTGATTAATTATCGGATTGCAGAGATATTCAACTGGAATACACGAAGCAAGTCATCAGATTAGGAAGTTCTCTGTTTAAATTGTTGTCTGAAGCTCTTGGACTAAAACCAAGTCACCTCGAGGAGATGGGATGTGCTGAGGGCCTTTCAGCTCTATGCCACTATTATCCACCGTGCCCTGAGCCTGAACTAGCCTTAGGCACAAGCAAGCATTCCGACAATGACTTCCTAACAGTGCTTCTACAGGACCAAATTGGAGGCTTGCAAGTGCTTCATCAAGACCAGTGGGTTGATGTTCCTCCTGTGCCTGGTGCCTTAGTGGTCAATATTGGAGATCTTCTACAGGCAAGTCTCTCACTTCCTAATATTTTCTGTTATCGGGTTTGGATTTAGACACCTAATGTTCCATTTTTTGGGGCTAGCATCTTACAGATCCTTTGTGACTATATAAATAGATAGTCAGAATACATAAATAGTCCCTCTACTCTACTAAAATGGTGGATGTCGTGCCTCTCCTATAACTTGTATAAATCAAGTCCATGTGCTTTTTGTTAATTGGTTTAGAAGTTAAATTAAAGTTTATAACATTATTCATCACATTGGTTTCAAATAGACAGAGTTCAGATCCTTGTTTCTTGTTTCTGTCAGCTCATAACAAATGACAAGTTCAAAAGCGTAGAGCACAGAGTGTTGGCAAACCGCGAAGGCCCAAGAATATCAGTTGCATGCTTTTTCACCACAGGTCTACTACCATCTTCAAGGCTGTATGGACCCATTGAAGAGCTTCTATCAGATAACAATCCTCCAATCTATAGAGAAACAACAGTTAGAGACTTTGTTTCCTACATCTATGAACATGGTCTTGATGGAACTTCTCCCCTACATCTCTTCAGACTGTGAAATTGGCCATATAGCATATATGTTTGATTAAGGGAAAAAAAATGTTAACTGGACTGGTTGATTGATTTATCAAGACACCATGAGTATATTTGGCACAAATTGAGCTCAAATAAGTATTGTCAATTTATAGCCATTATCTACTTTATCAAAGTGGTAGCAAACTTCTTTTATTTTCTTTTCTAGTTAGTTGGATTTGATATGCTTCTTCATTTCCTGAAGTTTCCGAAATTGCATTTCATGTTCTTATTGGAAATTTCAAATCATTTACCTTGCTAAATCTGCATTTGATAATCAATTTGCAAGCAGATGGATTCAAAAAGTAGAAGAATATCGACCAGCAGTTTTTCATCTTTTTCAGTCTATAGTGATTTTTCTAAAAACGGTAAGTTTATTTGGTGACAGTAAGACACTGAAGGAGAAATTTCAGGCTAAAATGCTGCTATGTCATTAGCTTTAAGTAATGGGACAAATAGGATCGATCAATGGTGCTGGCTTGCTGGCCATGAGTCATGATCAACTAATAATTAATGAAAGAGAGGTGCTTGGCACATAGAATGGTGTTCTAGAATTAACCCAAAGATATTTCTAAAATTAACCTACCTAGAACTAGAACAGTACATTCCACCGCACAGCAACAAGATAAGAAAAAATAGAGAGAAAAGAATGAGCATGCAGATAACTTGGCGAAGGAGGGTGTAAATATACTGAGTGACCTCATTAATATCCTTGACAGTGACGAGGAGGGCATTGAAGGTCTGGTTTCTCTCTGTTTCAACCTGGATCAGCCTCGGCGGTCATGGATGGGTATCTCCCTCGGATTGTTGGCTGAACGATCGGTTGTAATAAGATGAGATAAGTAGACGTTGCTTGCTTTGGGAGCACTCTTGTCCTTCAGGAAATCCTGTCAATTTCTGCTTTGGGAGCACTTTTTGCTTGATGCTGCCAATTTCTTATCGTGCAGCTTGGAATTTTTGTAATTTTTTTGTTCAGACTCTTTAAGCTTGCTACTATGCCAAAAGGAGGATTTTACCAACAAAATAGAAGACTCTCCATGGCATTGTAGCTGCAACCTTAATAAAACACCAACTTTCAAAAAAAAAAAATGTAACTTTAGTGGAAACCCTAAATCCTATAATGGATGGGGCTAGAGTTTCATTTAGAAAGGTGAGCTAGATCTTAAGGAAAAAGACATCGGAAAGTCCTGAGGAAAAAGAGAGGTGCACTGTATACTAGCAATTATATCAAAGAAAGAAAGGGGATCATCCTGTTAGAAACCAATTCAGACTACGGCGGTATCACATTGGACTCTTTATCCTCCTCAAAGATCCTAAACAGAAATGGCGGAAACAAGCTTTGAGCGACCAACAAAATAGAAGACTCTCCATGGCATTCTAGCTGCAATCTCAATAAAATACCAACTTTCAAAAAAAAAAAAATGTAACTTTTGAATAAACCCTAAATCCTATAATGGATGGGGCTAGAGATTCATCTAGAAAGGCAAGCTAGATCCCCTCTCTAGTCTACAAGACATAAAAGATATCGGAGAGTCGTAAGGAAAAAGAGAGGTGCACTGTGTACTGGGAATTATATCAAAGAAAGAAAGGGGACCGTCCTGTTAGAAACCAATTCAGACTGCGGCGGTATCACATTGGACTCTTTATCCTCCCCACAGACCCTAAACAGAAATGGCGGAAACAAGCTTAGAGCGAATTCAGGAATCCAATTACGATAGGAATAGCGAACTGAAAGCTTTTGATGATACAAAAGCAGGGGTAAAAGGGCTTGTAGATTCTGGTATAGCAAAAGTACCGAGGATTTTCATTCGTGAGGAATACAAGCTTGAGGGAAATTATGACCAGGATAGGGGCAACTCTAACATTGGTATCCCGATTATTGACTTGACAGGCATCGAAGAAGATGCAAGTTTACGAAGGGAAGCAGTGCAAAAAGTTGGAGAAGCTTGCGAGAAATGGGGTTTCTTTCAGGTAGTCAACCATGGAATTGCTGCGACAACTTTGGATGACATGATCGATGGCATTCGCAGGTTTCATGAACAAGATTGGGAAGTTAAGAAAGAGATTTACTCTCGAGATTACACGAAAAAAATGAATTATAATAGTAATTTTGATTTGTACCGGGCAGAAGCAACCAACTGGAGGGATTCTTTGACCTGTGTCATGGCACCTCGTCAGCCTCATCCCGAAGAATTGCCTACAGTTTGCAGGTAAAGTAAAATCTACTGTTCACCTACTTTTAAGAGTTGACCCCTTTTTGTTCACCGAAGTAGATGCTTCTTTCTTAATTTCAATTGGGTTTTATTTATCAAAGAGAGAGGGGAGCCCAGCAAATCAAGATCCGGTAATGTTATAATCTAAAATCTTGTCAGGATTTTTCTGGACAGGATGATGTTGTTGATGTAGTTCATTTTCCTCTCTTACTTCCTACAGTCTTTTTTTTTTTTTAATTATCATGAAGTTAGGTTAATCTTGTTCTATTATATTTCTTAGAATTTCTTAACTTTAAAGAGGATTTTCATAAATTCTTTTTAAGAGGTTGATTTTGTTTTTTGAATTTAACATGACAATAGATCTGGCTGATCCTCTTCTATTTCTTATAATTTCCTAATTTAAGAGGACTTTTCACAAATTCCTTCATTGGGTGAAGTTTTCCTCCCCAATCTTCACTAAAGTATTTGTTAATTTTGCCATTAGTATGTGCTATTTATTTGTTTATTTTTGAAATCTCTTAAGCGGTGGAGGCACAATATTTTCAGGGGAGTGGTGAGATATAACTTGAGAGTTGTCAAGAAACTGGCCTTGTCTGAGTAATCCATGGGAATGAGACAACTTTAAATAAAATCAATCAGTTTATGGTATCCTTTATATAGACTGAAGTACATAGTAATCAATTAATCAACTGATGAGAAAGATACGATTCCATTGTCTTTCATGTAATTGAGTTGTCCCAGGCATGTTCTCTCCATAGCTGCAATCAGTCAAAAAAGTGTCATTGTATCTGCTTCTTCCTTAATCTGCAGGGATATATTGCTCGACTATTCAAACAAAGTAATGAAATTGGGTGACACTCTGTTCGAACTGCTGTCAGAAGCTCTGGTTCTCAACCGCAGTCACTTGAAAGACATTGGCTGTGGGGAGGGGCTTTTTGTCCTTGGCCATTACTACCCACCATGCCCTGAACCAGAGTTGCCTTTGGGTACTAGCAGCCACACTGATAGCAGCTTCTTCACCGTGCTTTTACAAGATCAAATTGGTGGACTACAAGTCTGTTGGGTGTGTGTCTTTTCACTTGCACCACACACTCGATCGTCGAAAACCGCTCTGAGAAATACAATGCAACTAAGTGCGGAAACTAGTCACACTGAATAAATGTTGTTCGGGAAATACAATGCGAAATAGTGAACACAAAGTGGGCCCGCACAAATCCCGAAATATCGGCTCTGACAGGAATGCGCCCGCCACCACCGTCTGTGCTCCAGATGCGTGCTCGATGCTCCTGTGATCGCGTACGTGCAATCCGCGATCACTTCCGAGTTCCTGACGGCCCGAAATGCGCCTCGAAAGTCCGCTGTCCCGTATCTCCAAAACCGTGCGTCGGATGACGAAACCGACGTCGCCGTTGGAACCGCAGCGCGTCAAAACCCCAGGGGTAGCATCCCCGTCGAAATTCGGGTCGGTCGCCGGAGGTTGCCGGAATCCGGTCACCGGTCGTCTTCTCCGGGAACTGGTTTTCGGTCAAACTCGACCAAAACCAACGCGACCAGAACTGATGCGTTAGCCTCCTCCTTGCGGTGCTCTCCGCGCCAACCGTCGCTTGAAATACCTCCCGGATCGGTGAAACCGAGCTCTCCAAGTTTCGGTCGCCGGAATCCCGCCGTCCGGCAACACCACTGCCCAAGACCGGGCTCTCCAAGCTCGCCTCAACACGCCGTGCAAGGATCCGCAGGCTGTGAGAATCACCTCCCTCACCGGAGAGAGATCCGAGCCCTCCAAAGGTAGCCCTCTCCTCTCTCTCTTTCTTTTTTTTTTCGATTTGCACCGAGAGCTCCACACCAACGCACGCACGGACCCCTCACCAAAGTCAAAAAAATGGTGGGGTTACGGTGCGTCATAAAATAACAATCTCCACCTCGCACCGTGACCTCCACATCATGTCGAGCTTCATCCAAGTCCATCTGCATCTTCCGCACAAACTCCGCATTCCTCAAAACCTGGAGCGTCGCCAAATGTCGCTCCAACCGATCCGATGACAACGCCTTCGTCAAGGCATCTGCCGGATTCTCTGCCGTGTGAATCTTCTGGAGATCCACCGCACCACTTGCTACCAATTCTCGTATCCAGTGGTAGCGAATGTCAATGTGTTTCGTCCTCGGATGAAACACGTTATCCTTCGCTAGTGCCAATGCTGACTGGCTGTCGGTGAGAAGTACCGTCGATGCCCGCGTCCGTGCATCGAAATCTCGAAACAATCCCTGAAGCCAAATGGCTTCCTTCCCAGCCTCCGTGATCGCCATGTACTCCGCCTCTGTGGTAGATAGAGTCGTCACCGACTGCAAGACTGATCTCCATGAAATCGGTCCGCCTCCCGTCGTGAATATAAAGCCCGTCGTGGACTTCCTCCCGTCTCTATCGCCCGCATAGTCGGAATCCACGTACCCGATCAACTCCACTGGACTGCCTCCAAATCGTATACCATAGTCCGATGTGCCTCGCAGATATCGGAGTATCCACAAGACCGCCCTCCAGTGCTCCATGCCAGGGTTCTGTGCGAACCTGCTCACAACACCGACTGCATGGGCTATGTCAGGTCGTGTGCACACCATCGCATACATGAGAGATCCCACGGCACTCTGATATGGTATGCGACTCATCTCCTCGATCTCCTCCTCCACTGTCGGCGAATCTGCCAATGACAGTCTGAAGTGACTCCCCATCGGTGTTGCCAACTGGTGGAGGAAGAGTGTGTGAGATCGTCTATCCCGCTCACCGCCATGCCAAGGATCGAGAAGCTGGTCCCAAATCCTTCATCCTGAAGGCGCTCCTCAGTTCCGCCTTTGACTGCTCAATGTCATGCATCCTCTCTCCAGCTATGAGGATGTCGTCCACGTACAAGACTAAGAATGTTCGTCCTGTACCTCTGTCC